GTGTAAGCCTGTAATCCTAGCACTGAGGGAGGCTGAGGCAGGAGGGCCTTGAAATTTGATTCCTACCTGGGCAATTTAATGAGACCCTGTTCAAAGTAAAAGGGGCTGGAGATGTAGGTCTAGGTCAATGCACCCTGGGCTTGATCCCTAGTATTGCCCAAAACAAACAAACAAACAAACAAACAAAACACCACAATGTGGAAATGAATAATGACAGGGAGTAATAACCTATGTACTTAGATAACAGGTTAATTGTATATAAAAAAGGAAGAGAGGGAACAGTCCTTTAAAAAAAAAAAAGAAACTTTTTATTTATTTTTGTGATACTGGATTGAACCTAGGGTCTTTGCACTTTTTCCCAAGCTAGGCTCAAACTTGCTTTCTTCCTGCCTCAGTCTCCAGAGTGCTGAGATTACCGTACCCTTGTAGTCCCAGCTACTTGTGAGGCAAGGCAGGAGCTGGGGAGTTTGAGGCCAGCCTGGATAATTTCGTGAGCCCCTCCTGCAGGGGAAGAAAAGATCTCTAGCTGGGACTCTTTTTTTTAATTATTCATTTATTTATTTATTTTGGTACTGAGGATCGAACTCGGGTCTTTGTGCTTGCAAAGCAGTCCACAGAACCACTGGGCTAAATCTCCAGCCCCCATCCCCTGGGATTCTTGATGGGGTAAAGGAACCCTGGTGAGGCAGCCAGTGCAGGGCAGAACACTGAGCCTCTGCGGGCCTGTGGCACAGTGAGTTCATCGGGAAAAGACGCTTGAAGAGCTGTCAACATGCTCATGACCGGATCGCACCCAGCTGTGACTGACACTTTTTCCCACAGTGGTCCCAGCCACCGATGGGACAGCCATGCACGTGCCACTGGTGGACCAAGCCGGTGGGAAGGGGCTAAGGCCGATCAGAAAGATAGTTTATATGCTAGATTGTATGTTGCAGAGTTATAACAAAAACTAATTTGAGAGAGTCTTGCTGTGTGGTAAAAGTAAGCAGTTTTAAGCATGAAACAGTTTTTTTTAATATAGGAGAATGGTGGTACAGATTATTGTAATCCAGCCATCTATCCAATCTCATTCCAAACATGTTCACCGTATATGTAGTGCCATCATACAGGCACGAGTAATTTATCAGGACCTTTCTCTGTGGGAGCATAAACTGTTTTTGTTCTGTGATCTCTCTTTAAAATAAATGTATTGCCCCAGATCATACATCTGGCGTGCTGGAGCTGAGTGGAATTAACACCTACCTTCACAGTAGTATATTAGCAGTGAAGAGAAGTGCTGTGAATGCAGTAAGGAACATAGCAAGCAAGGGTCGAGAAAATACTCCCCTCCTCCTTTCCTTTCCTCCTGACTCTTAGGTCTTGGTGTGATGAGGCCCTCTGGGGAGACCGCCCTGCCTCTGAGCTTTGGCTCCAGGCTGGAGTGGGAACTGGAGATGGCGGTGCTGTTCCACTCATACTGTTTCCTTTCAGAAGCGAACAGCACACAGGGACCCTGCTTTAAAACATTAGCCTCATCATCTGTTAGTCCACCGTTCTCGGTTCAGAATCTTTGGATTTTAAAATGATTTTTGAGAACCTCTTTTAAAATGCAGATAACCCTGAAAGAAGCTAGACCTTAGATTTTAGCTGGCACCTTGATTTAGTTAACACCTTATTTAACTAAGAAGGATGAAACCCTGGCTAAAAATGATCGCCTTAGAGTCGGGGATTCAGCTCAGAGGTGCCATTGCCTGCCTCACGAGCACAAGGTCCTGAGTTTGATCCCTGATTAAAAAAAAAAGAGAGAGATTACCTTGAAGGAAACTAGCATTTATTATAATTTTATTATTACTAACAGCAAGATGTATGAGGGAATCAAACTCAGGACCTCATGCTTGGCAGGCAGGCGCTGTGCTACTGAGCTATATTCTCTGCCCTTCTCTGCATTGATTCGGTTTTTGTTTTAGACAGGGACTCACTGTGTAGTTCAGTCTGGCCTTGAACTTGTGGCAATCCTCTGAGTGCTGGAATAATAGGCATGCACCGCCATACCCAGCACATTTTGAATAAAAGTAGGTAGAAGAGAACCCTAAATTATTTCCTTAACCTCCAAATTGATTCAGTTTTCAGAACCAATATTTATTAACACTAAATCTACCTCTGCCTGTTTCTTCAGAACTAATAATGCACTGCTACACTTTTAATTTCCTTATGCTCTCAGGGTTAGCAGAGTCTCTTGTATCTGCTCACCTCTCTTTAGATCTCTCTGCCATTCAAATGTCTCTGTAAGCTACTGATATGATGGTGCCCTCCTCCTCTGCAGAATTCTGCAGGACTTTATATTCTCCGTAGATCCTGGATCAGTCTTGGGGTTGGTGAGGGCAAGTAAGTCCCCAAGTCCTGGCTGCCAGGGAGGGGTCTGGAATGGCACTGGGGCGTGTGCAGGTTCGTGCAGTCCCCTCGCCCCGCTGATCCCTCCTCAGCCGGGACAGGCCAGCACACAGGTCTTCGAAGCGTCCGCTCTGTTGGGGTGTGGCTGCCCACGTCTAGAGACAGACGGATCCTGGGTGCTGGGTGACCTTGTGGTGGAATTAGGGATAGAAATGGGGAGGCCATTTAAAACCCTCATTGCAGTTACCCTGGTGAAGCTCAGTTGTGGCTTGGACCAGGTTCATGGCAGTAAAATTCCTTTTTTCTTCTTTTTCTGAGATGGGGTCTTGCTAAGTAGTTAAGACTGGCCTTGAACTTACCAGATAGCCCAGGCTGGCTTCAAATTAATTCATGCCTCGGCCTCCAGAATGCTGGGATTATCGGCATGTTTCACCACACCCAGCCATAGTAGAATTACTAAGTAGTCTGGGTTAGATACAGCTTGAAGACAGAGCCAACTATTTCTCCTGAAGGACTGATGTGGAAAGAGAGAGGTCAAGGGTGAGTCCAAGGTGTTTGCCTCAGTACAGCCCCTAGAAGGACATAGGGTCCTGGAGTGTATTCATCAGTGATGTCCCATTAGCAGCTGTTGTTGAGTACTCAGGGTTCTGATTTGACCAGAGTTTAGATGTGTAAACTGAGAATGCCACTAAACTTAGATCATAAACTTAGAAAACCGTTTGAAGTATGTGTGCCAATGAGGGTTGGGACTGCCTGGTCTGCAGTCCATGCTGATACCCTATATCTAAAAGCGACAGAGTGAGAGACTTCATAAAGAGGTGGAAAGGAGCCAGTCAGCTTTCCCCAAGCAGTTTTCCTGGAGCCCTGGAGGTGGCAGCTGCAGGTGAATTTCATACCAACTCACTGTCACACTGCGTATGATCCCAGTGTCCTGGCCTAGGTCCTCATTTGCACCCTGAAATTTGTATTCAAGTTATGTTCAGTGAAAAACAATGTTTTATTATCACTGCTTTTTAAATAGAGTTCTGTTCATTGTTTACCTGCCACAGAAGTGTTTTTGACTTTAACTGATTAAGAAGCAAGTTCTGGAGAAAACAATAGTGTTATTTTAAAAAATAAGAATAAAACCAGGCATGGTGGCACATGCCCATAATCCCAGCACTTGGGAGGCGGAGACAGGATTGCCAGGTGTTTGAGGCCAGCCTGAACTACATAGTGAGTTCAAGACCAGCCTGAACTACACAGTGAGAACTGTCTTAAAAGGAAAAAATATAATAATAAAAAATAAAACTATTCTTTTTTGGGGGGAGTACCGGGGATCAAACTCTGGTCTTTGCGCTTACAAGACAGGCAGCAGAACCACTGTGCTAAATCCCCAGCCCAAAACTATTAATTTCAGATACGCTTAGACCTGCTACAATGTAAATAGCTCACTGTATTGCCATCCATCTACTCTTGTCTTCATTTGCATACACGTACGTTCCTGGGAATATTCAAATAAAAAAGTATATTCTCTTCTGCCAGGTGCAATTGTGCACCCTGTAATCCTAGCTATGTAGAAGGAACACGCAGGTAAGGCCAGCCTGGTAAATTTAGCAAGACCTATTTCCAAAAAAAGGCGTAGGGGATGTGGCTCAGTGGTAGAGCACCTCTGGGTATCTGTCCCCAGCATCACAAACACACACCATATTCTCCCTCTTCCTCCCCAAGGCAAACTGTCAGGTCTGTCCAGTCAGAGTATGTTATATAGTTGGGATTAAAGGTGTTGAGTTACTAAGTGGAAAGCCAAGTTTAATGTAATTAAATCCGATATTTAATATTCATTTAAGTAAATAAAGCTTAAGGTTTATTAAAATAGCTACTACGTATTGAGCATTTACCATAGGTCAGATAAATACTTTATGTCTCTCAGTCACTGAACCATCCTACTGACATTGGGATGATTTTTCCCTCTTGTGAATGAGGTTTCAAGAATGAAAACAATTCCTGGAAAGCATAAATCTCACAGTATGCTGCAGATGTTGAATTCAGACACAAGCATTTAGGTCTTGTTTTTTGTTTGTTTGTTTTTGGTATCGGGGATCGAACTCGGGTCCTTGCACTTGCAAGACAGAAGGCAGAACCACTGAGCCAAATCCACAGCCCTCAGATGCATGCATTTAACTGTGCTGGTGCTGAGTGACTCCACAGAGAGCTCAGCATATTTGTAAATGTTAGTATGATATGTTTTGGTCTTGGTAAATTTTTAAGAATAGAAATCTAGTTTTGGAAACTGCCCTCAGATTAAGATTTAAAAAAATCTCACTCTAGTTCAATGAAAAGTGGCCACTACCCATTTTCACCACTAGATGGTGACAGAAAATTAAAAACAAAAGAGCTAGTGGTAGAGAAAGTGGAAAGTGAAAGGTGTGTGCTCTGAGGACAAGGTGGTGAGATTAGGGGAGTCAGAGCAAGTGGAGAGAGAGAGAGAGAGAGAGAGCGCTAGGTACGGTATTATGAGGAAGGCCCAGATACTAGAGGCAGAGGGAGCAAATTTATATTATTCTTGGGAACATACCTTATAAAAAAGAAATACTGGGTTCTTGATTTTACTTTATTAAAAACTTGCCCTCGTTCCGCCCCGTTCTCAGGTGCCTCGGGTGTTGTGGACGGCCTTGTATGGATTACGTGTTTCTCCGGCGGACCGAGTGAGGGCTGACGATGGATACCTGCAGACACATCGGGCGGTTGCAGCTTGCTCAAGACCATTCCGTGCTCAGCCCGCAGAAGTGGCACTGTGTGGACTGCAGTACGACCGAGTCCATCTGGGCCTGCCTCAGCTGTCCCCACGTCGCCTGTGGACACTACCTTGAAGAGCACGCACTCAAGCACTTTCAAGAAAGCAGTCATCCTGTCGCGTTGGAAGTGAACGAGATGTATACTTTCTGTTATCTCTGTGATGATTATGTCCTGAACGACAATGCAGCTGGGGACCTGAAGTCACTGCGGAGTACATTAAGCACAATCAGAAGCCAAAACTACTGTACCACTCGCAGCGGCAGGGTTCTCCGACCTGCGGGTACAAGTGACGATTCTGATTCTTACTTACATGATGCTGCCCAGTCTCCACTTGGGAGTGAAGATCAAATGTGTGCTGCTCTTTGGCACAGGAGAAGGATGCTCATGGGGAAAATCTTTCGGACTTGGTTTGAGCGATCACCCATTGGAAGAAAAAGGCAAGAAGAACAATGTCAAGAAAAAATAGTAGCAAAAAGAGAAGTGAAAAAAAGACCTCAAGAACTGTTAGAGTATCGAGTAGAAGCAGAAAGGGAAAGTTCGCCTCCCAGAAAGAGTTTACGTCTGCATGGGGCAACTCCGCCCGCCATGACGGGAGCTGCTCCTGTTCACCTCCCTCCACGAACCCCAGCATCACCAGCAAAGGAGAAAACCGTACCTGCTACCTCAGAAGACGGACGGTGGAAGAAAGCGGGTGATGCCTCAGCCAAGCGAGGGCCGGTAGTGACTCCCGGCGTAACAGGGTTGAGAAATTTGGGAAACACCTGCTATATGAATTCTGTTCTTCAAGTATTGAGTCATTTACTTATTTTTCGGCAGTGTTTCTTAAAGCTCAATCTGAACCAGTGGCTGGCCGTGACCGCCGGGGACAAGACGAGATCTTACGGCCGTCCCCCCGTGACAGGTGCCGTGCTATGTCAAGTGAGCGAATGCCAGGAGAAAGAACCAAGCTTCCTTTGCTCCCGACACCCAAGTATATCATCAGGGCTGAGTGGCGGAGCATCGGAGAATAGAAATACGGAGCCAAGTTCACAGTATTTCTCTCTCTGCCACGAATTGCACACCTTATTCCAGGTCATGTGGTCTGGAAAGTGGGCCCTGGTCTCCCCCTCTGCTATGCTGCACTCAGTGTGGAGGGTGATTCCTGCTTTTCGTGGTTATGCCCAACAAGATGCTCAGGAATTTCTGTGTGAACTTTTGGATAAAATACAAAGTGAACTCGAGACAACGGGTAGGGTGCCAGCCCTTCTCCCCACTTCTCAAAGGAAACTTATCAAGCAAGTTCTGAATGTTGTAAATAATATTTTTCACGGACAGCTTCTTAGTCAGGTATGGATCTTTTAAAACCTTACCTCCATCTTGAGGAATTTGTAAAATGAAGCCTACAGATGCACATTCTGTATACATTTGTGCCGTAGAACTTGTGCCATTTGCAGATCAAAACAGTTTGGTTTTTGAAAGGTATAAAGTTCTTTCCTTTGTGGAAGTAAGCAAGAGCCTTTTTTTTTTGGTGCTGGGGATTGAACTCAGGTCCTTGAGCTTTTGAAGCAAGCGGCAGAACCTCTAAGCTAAATCCCTGGCCCCATTCAAGTGCTTTCTGAGCAGGGTGGAATTCAGGAACAGTTTATTAGGTTAGCAGTATTCATTCTGGGGGGGACTGGGAAAGGGTTTAATCCCAGAGGGAGCAGGTGGAGAGATGGTGCTGTCCTGGAACAGCTGTGGTGCTCAAAAGCAGTGGCCCTAGAGGACCTCGGGAAAGTCAGAGGGCAAAGTCCTGCACGACTAGATGGGGAAGACTAACCAAGAGTAACCACGAATGTGGCTTCATCCAGAGTCATAACCCTAACTGTCTTCCTTCTTTTTTTCTTTCTTTATTTTTGGTACTGGGGATCAAACCGAGGACCTCGCACTTGCCAGGCAGGCGCAGTGCCACTGAGCTAGATGCCTTGTCCTTAATTTTTATTGCTGCCCTAAGTTTACTTTGTTGTGAAAAAGTGGGCTGCAAAACCAGATTCCCTCCTTAACAGAGGGAGTCTTGGTGAGCTTTTGCTGCTGTGAGGCTCTGGCCGTTCCGCAGCACACAGCTTCACTGACTGTATTGTTTTGTTTTGTGTTTTTGGTACCGGGGAACGAACTCGGGTCCTTGCGCTTGTGAGGTAGGCCACCGAACCGCTGAGCTAAACCCCCGGCCCAGCTTCACTGACTATGAGCTAATTGGGCCTTCGTCGTTTCCTGCCCTCTACACCGGCTCTGTCATTTCAGCTTCCCACTGTAAGAGTACACTTTACTTTTACAGCACTTTTGTAAAACATTGCTTAACTATTTCAGACACGGTCCTCGAAGAGTAACTATGAAGTTTATTTCAGGTAATGTTTCAGAAATGTAGATTCTACATTGTGCCAATTAGCAAATAAGAGTTGTTCTTCTTTGTTGCACAGGCAGCTTTGTTTTTGCACCGTCTTTCCGTCGTCTATCTTTTCTGTGCAAAAGCTTTGAAATATACTGTAAGTGCAGTATGCAGGTGTATAAAAACTATATAATACTGAAAACATGTACAGAAGAAAGTAAGTCATTCCCTTGTCACCAAATTCCACAATCCACTGAAAAAACTTAATGTTTTGGTGTATTGTCTTTTAATCTTTTTTTCCCCCTCACTTGTGCACACGTACATATTTTTCACCGTAATTGGTTATTTGGCTTTTTAAAATTTTTGTAATGGCACTAGGGATTTGAACCTAAGAACACTCTACTACAGAACTACAGTCCCATGCCTTTTAAAAAATATTTTACTTTGAGGAAGAATCTTGCTGAACTGCCCAGGCTGGCCTTGAGTTTATGACCCTCCTGCCTCAGCTTCCCCAGTAGCTGAGATTACAGGTGTGTGCCACTGTGTTCTTAACTGCTGCTTATTCTTTCAAGGATTTCCTATGGTCATTATAAAGATTTGGTCATTGAGAACATTGTGGTATCTGTTATGTTTACAGGATAACAATCACATCCCCCATTGTTGACTTAAGACTGTTTCCAATTTTTCATTTATCACATCATGATAAACTAATATTTGTTTTCTGATAATACCTTTTTGTTTTGTGGGACCAGGGATTAAACTCATGACCTTGTGCTTGCCAGGCAGGCGCAGTGCCACTGAGGTACACCCCCAGCCCTGATAATATCCTTATGACCGAGACTTGTAAGTAGAAGTACTTTGTCAAAAAGTAGGACATTTCATACTTAATAACAAATTTCAGAAGGTTTGTTTTTTATTTAATTTCATTTTTTTAGTGCCATACATAGTGACATAAGGCCTATAATTTTAGCATTCAGGAAGCTGAGGCAAGAGGATCATGAGTTTAAAGCCAACCTGGGCTATCTGACCAGGGTCATGGCCAGCCTGGATTACATAGCAAGACCCTATCTCAAAACAACTTTTTAAAAAATAATTTTACATTTTCAGTCTTGTTTTTTCTTTACTTTTTTTTTTTTTTGGTACTGGGGATCGAACTCAGGACCTTGCACTTGAGAGGCAGTCACCAGAACCACTGAGCTAAATCCCCGGCCCTTGTTTTTTCTTTATAAATGAATTTTAAAATTAATAAAAATCGTCATACAAACTTTTTTCTCCTCTTCCCTTTTTCAAGGGGAGTGGTTCCGGAGGAGGGGACCCACATGCTGCCTGGCGGCGCTGCTCCTGGACTCTGCACGGGGAGATTCAGACAGTTGGTGGCAGGAATGAATGGCTTTGGCTGTTTTCTTTAATTAGTGTTTCTCTAGTCCAGGTTGGCCGTAGAGTTGCAGCAATCCTCCTGCCTCAGCCTCCTGAGTGTTGGGATTACAGGCTTATGCCACCCCACTTGGTTTATTTGATTTTTTAATTCAAGAAAACTTCTCAGTCAGGGAGGCCCTGGTAGTGCTGAGTCCCAGACTAAATACCAGGAGGGTTCCTTGGATCAATTTGTTACATCTAAAATCTACATTCGAACTGGCTTTTTTGTTGTGTTGCCTGTGCCCCGAATGTTGACCATATGGAGAGTTTCCTACCTCATAGTCTGTCTTCACTTGTGTGCAGAGTTGTGAGTAAAGTTTCTCTCGGGTTAATATTCTCTTTCTAGGATTGCTGCTGTATGGCCTGTGTAAGTTGCTAGAAGTGCTTTTCCCTGCTTTGGTGGTGCTAGGAAAGGAGCCCAACGCCCCACACCACTGAGTAACATCTGCAGCTGCTCCGTGTCCTATCCTTTTAGGTTAGGGATTTTAATGTGGTAGTGTTTAAGCAGCGGGGTGAATTGTTATTATATGTTACACATATGTTGTGCCTCAGCCTCCTGAGTTAGCTGGGATTACAGGCAGGCCCAGGAAGTTCGTTTTTTTTTTTTTTTTTTTTTGAGGCAGGGTCTCACTATGTAGTTCAGACTGCTCTGGAACTCACTGTGTAGCCCAGGCTGGTCTCGAACTCACAGCGATCCTCCTGATCCTCCTGCCTCAGCCTCCCGTGCTGGGATTATAGGCGTGCACCACCACGCCCGGCTAGGAAGTATGTTTTTGAAATTGTCAGTTGATAGGGCTTTAAAATCTGTCTAATGAAAACATGCGAATAGCATTTTACTTGATCAGAGTTAAGATGGTAGCTTGCGGGGCTCAGAGTGTAGCTCTGTGGTAGAATGAGAGTTTAATAGGTGAGAGCCCTGGGTTCAGTCCCCAGCACCAGAGAGGTGGACTGGATAGAGGGACAAAATCTGCAAGATGAAGACAGCAAAGCTAAGAATTGCAGGCATAAGGAAATAAATACATTAAATGCATATAAAGATACGTGTATATAATACACAGACATAATATGTAGCTATTAAATGAGCCATAGTTTGTGTTTTAACCTAAAGTCTGTTTTGGGGGTTGTTTGTTTTTTTGTTTTTGTTTTTTTGAGACAGGGTCTCACTATGTAGTTGAGACTGACCTGAAACTCACTATGTAGCCCAGGCTGGTCTCGGACACACAGCACAATGATCCTCCTGCCTCAGCCTCCCTACATCTCAGTCTTGGCCCTTTTTTTTTACTTTTTTTTTGGTGTGTGTGTGTGTACCAGGGATCAAACTCAAGACCTTGTGCTTGTGAGACAGGCGCAGCACCACTGAGCTAAATCCCCGGCCCTTTTTTTACTTACTAATTTGAGGCAGCATCTTACAAAATTACCCAGGTCATACTCAAATTTGGCGGCCTTCCTGCCTCAGTCCCCAGAGTGCTAGGTTACAGGTGTGGCCGCTAGGCCTGGCTCTGAAGCCGTGGCTATGATGGCATTGCTGGGCCCAGCTAAAGCCTAGGAGTTAAATCCAGCCTGCAGTTCAAGATGGGTTTAATCCCACTTTTACAGAATGAAAAATTTATAATTAAATGTCCTGACAAGAATAGAAAGCCCAGCTGTGCACGATGGCACGTACCTGTAATCCCAGCTACTCAGGAGGCTGAGGCAGGAAAATTGGCAATTTGAGGCTAGCCTTGGCAAATAAGAGAGACCCTGTGTCAAAAAGCAGAAAGCTAGGACACCTGCAGGCCTAGCACTCTGGGAAGCTGAGGCAGGAGGATCAAGTTCGGAATCTGGCTGAGGTAACTAAGTGATACCGTCTCAAAAATTTTAAAAATGAATGTGGATGTAGCACAGTGCAGAGGCTCTAGGTTCTAGTGCTGCCAGAAACAATACAGGTGGGGGGAGGGTCTGGGGACTGAAGCACGCGGTGTAAAAAGGTACAGGAAATACATGTGGCCAGTTACTCAGATTTCTTATGGTGCATTTTCCTTTCTTTACTGACAGTGGCCTGATGAAAGAATGTTTTGACGGATTGTAATCTCTGATACTTTTATTTGCAGGTTACATGTCTCGCGTGTGACAACAAATCAAATACCATAGAACCTTTCTGGGACTTGTCATTGGAATTTCCAGGGAGATACCAGTGCAGTGGGAAGGATGCTGCCTCGCAGCCGTGTTTGGTTACTGAAATGTTGGCCAAATTCACAGAAACTGAAGCTTTAGATGGAAAGATCTACGTATGCGACCAGTGTAACTGTGAGTAGAGGTCGTCTCTGTGCTTTGCTAAGACTGACAGAGAAACACAAATTCAACAAAACTGAAGAAATTCCCTTCATAGCTATTATGAAAATAACTTGAGTTCATCAAAAGAGATCAGACTAGACATTTCTACTTTACACTTGGCATTTGTGGCTGGGTTTGGATTTTTTTGGTTTTGTTTTGGGGGGTTTTTTGTTTGTTTTTGTATTTTGGGTTTTTCTTGCATTGTTGATGGCGTTTAAAGTTTTTTTATCCTTTAGTCAATTGTGGAGAAAAGAGAGTCCTAAAATAAGAAATCTAGGGCCAGGGATTTAGCTCAATGGCGCTGTGCCTGCCCCACAAGCACAAGGTCCTGAGTTTGATCCCCGGTACCACAACAAAAAAGAAGAAATTTAAATTCGATATGTGGATGAGAAGTGGCAGAGGACTGGGGATTGAGTTCAGTGGTTCTGCCACCTGCCTCGCAAGTGCATGGTCCTGAGTTCAATCCCCAGTACCAAAAAAAAAAGAAGTGGCAGAGAAAAACAGTAAAAGGAAAGCATGTCATATAGTACAAATGAAACATGTGCTTCGAGAGTGTCTTTGCTATATATAAACACTGAAATGCGTGTATAGATAATATGTGTTGTACGTACATATAGTAGGAAGCAATAGATAGTTGTTACTGTAGAGATTGGCTTCAAAAAACAAAGATTAGGGCCAGGGAATTAGTTCGGGCATTGCGCCTGCTTCACAAGCACAAAGTCCTTAATTTGATCCCCAGTACCAGAAAAATAAAAAAACCAAAGATTTATTCACATTCATCAACTGGATCCATGAAGATCCACTGTGATAAGGGCTGTCTGGGAAGAGGGGCCACAGGAGCCCCCCGAAACAGCCGCGCTCCTCCGGAGAGAGGGTGTGAGAACCACAGCAGATGTTCTGTGTCATCATCTCCTCTCTAGGTATATGTACTTGGCATTTTGGTGTTCATATTTTGTACTTTGAGGTATTCTCTGTAATTTTCATGTTTCAGAGAGTGATTCTAAAACTTAATCATTTTACTTTTTGGAGACAGGGTCTCTCACTATGCAATTCAGGATGGCCTTAAACTCACAGTGTAGCCCATGCTGGCTTCAAGCTCACAGCAGTCCTCCTGCCTCAGCCTCCCGAGTGCTGAGATCATAGATTCTAGAGCTTTAGATACTGATTTTTTTTTTTGTACCAGGAATCGAAGTCAGGACCTTGCCCCTTGTGAGGCAGGTGGTGGAAATCACTGAGCTAATCCCTGGCCCAAGATAATGAGGTTTTTTTTCCCAGCTCTGGGGGTCAAACCCAAAGCCCCACATGTTAGGCAAGTGTTTTACCAAGCAACATCACCCGCCCTGATAGTGAATTTTTTTTTTTCGGTCCTGGGGCTTGAACTTGGGACCTTGTACTTATGAAGCAGGTGGTGGAACCACTGAGCTAAATCCAGAGCCCTGATAGTAAATTTTTGATGAATAAGAAACACTCAAACATACACACTTGTAATCCTACCACTGAGGAAGGCTGAGGCACGAGGATTGCAAGTTCAAGCCCAGGCTGGGCAATTTAATGAGACTCTATTTCAAAATAAAGAGGACTGGAGGAATGTAGCATAGTAGTATAGCACCCCTGAGTTTGATCCCCATTACCCGCCGCCAAAAGAAAAAAAGAGTTCCAGTGCTGAAGAGATGACACATAGAAGTAGCTGGGCATGGTGGTGCGCACCTGTAATCCCAGCACTCAGGAGGCTGAGGCAGGAGGATCACTGTGAGTTCAAGAGCAGCCTGGGCTACATAGTGAGTTCCAGGTCAGGCTCAACTACATAGTGAGACCCTGTCTCAAAAAAAAAAAAAAAAAAACTGCATGAGATGACACATAGTTGATGACTTTCTAGAATGACTTACATTGTCTTTTCTGAGTGATATCTAATGTAAATGCTTATAAAGGAGCCTAGGACTTAAAAGGTTGTAGAAAAATAATTTACCTTTATCAAGTTTGTTTGATGACGTATTTTTCCTTGACATATGTCAGATGGTTTCTTCACTAAATCTGGGGGAAGACACTGAGATGGCACGGGTCTCCCAGGGTGGCCCAGCCGGTACTGGGAGAGCCGCCTTGTGCCCGAGGACGCTGGGTTCCAAGCGGAGGTCGAGGAGTGGCCATGCCACAGGAACCCTGGTGGACCCTGCGCGCTGGCCCTGACCCAGGGGTGCGCGCAGGACCCTCACGCTGGCTCCCGGGTCTCGGGAGTGACCTGGAGGGGTCCTCGGGAGGCCAGCTGTGCTGTGGCTGGAGCCACCGCTCCTGGACCGAGAGAGCAAACTGACTCTCAGCACTGCGGCCAGAAACTGCAGGTCATGGTCCCCGAGTAGACCTCTCGTGAGCCAGAGGGGGCAATAGGAAGAACCCCAAGTCTGACGAGATCTAGAGCTAAAAGAGCAGAGCTAAGACACCCGAGCGACAGCCTGGCGTGCAGCGCTGGTCATGGCTGCTGTTTGGGACCCTCAGTCTGAGGGTGGAGGGCTGTGCAGCGGCTAGGACCTGTGCCCCAGGGTCCTGAGCAGCCTCTGCAAACTGTTAAAGTAGGAGTTTGGGGATTGAATGTTGAGGGGTAAGGAGGGGAGGCTTCAGCTTTTTCTCATTAATCAGGATGGCCAACTCCTCTTGTCAGGATGGAGTAGTATGCGTCATTCTGTTACCCTGTTTGCAACGTGGTTTTTTGTTGTTACCGGGGATCGAACTCAGGACCTTGAGGCAGGCGGAACCACTGAGCTAAGTCCCCGGCTGCACTGTTGTTAATGAATGGTTTCCATGTTTCGGTGCTGGTCTTGTGTAACTAGCTCCTACGTTTCTTAAGTTGTGCAGAAGTGTCTGGAGGTAAAGCACAGCACGGTGCCTGCGGACAGAAGCTGCTGAATTAGTCCTTGTCTAAGTTAAATGCAGTGTCAGTTTTCCCTGTGTCCGTAACTCAATGCCCCTTCTCCTGAACATTCTAGCGAAGCGGAGGAGGTTCTCCTCCAAGCCAGTCGCACTCACAGAAGCCCGGAAGCAGCTCCTGATCTGCCGCCTGCCGCAGGTTCTCAGGCTGCACCTCAAGCGGTTCAGGTGGGTAGCAGCACAACCCGGGGTGCGGGGGACCTGAGCGCCCCAGAGGACTTGTGCTTTTTGTTTTTAAAGGAAAAAATGTGGCAGTTGCCTTTGGCCATGAGCAGCACCACATCCTGTGGGGAGCGCACTGCTGACGACAGCTCCCCCTGTTTCTGTCTGCCGGGCGTGCGAGTCATGCGAATTCTGCTCACTGTGCGTACCAGTCAGCTGAAGATAGCATTTAAAATTTACTCTGTTAGAGCAGTTGACAAAATTGCCTTGTTCTTGGAAAATACTTAGTTGAAGATGTAGCAGTTAGAAGCAGTTTAGGAAAAGCCCAAACTAGTAAGGTGTGATGGTACATGAATATCTACCTATAATGCCAGCTAGTTAGGAGGCTGAGGCAGAAGCGTCACAGTTCCAAGGCCAGCCTGGGCAGTGTGAGGAGACCCTGTCTCAGAAATAAAAATGGCTGGGGATACTGCTTAGTACTCCTGTTTAATCCCCAAGACTGTAGAAAACAAATAACAACAACAAAAAACTCTTTAGTTTGCTGAAATATATTTAGTCAAGTGAAGTAAATATTTTGTTTGTTTTAATGAAAAGAATACCTGTTTTGTTTTTGTGTTTTTTGGTACCAGGTCCTTGAGCTTGTGAGACAGGCGGTAGAACCGCTGAGCTGAATTCCCAGCCCTAAGAACACCTGTTTTTAAAAAAATTTAAGTACTGTGTTGCATATGTTAAATTACCTTTGTCCTTTGTTCTTAGTAACACTTCCTTGAGGTGATCACTGTTGACTTCAGTTATTTATGGCTCTGTGCTGGTAAGGGTACAGTCAGCAAATACATGACTGTTTTTGTTTGTTTGTTTGTTTTCTGGTAATGATTGAACCCGGGGACTTTGCACTAAGCTACATCCCTACCCTTTTTAATTCTTATGTATGTATGTATGTATGTATGTATGTATTTGGTTGATTTTTGTTTTTTTGAAACAGGGTCTCACTGTATAGCCCAAACTGGCCTCAAACTCACAGCAGTCCTCCTGCCTCAGCCTCCCAAATGCTGGTATTACAGCCGTGCACCACCACACCCTGCTCTTATTTTTATTTTACAGGTTCTCTGTTAAGTTGCTAATATTGCCTAGTTGTCCAGACTAAGCTCTAATTTGAAATCCTTCTGCCTCGGTCTCCCAGAATGCTGGGATTACAGGCATGCACCACCATGCCCGGCAGTGAATGCTTTTTTTTTTTTTTTTTTTTTTTTTTTAAAAAACACGGGTGTGAAATTTTTTTTTTTTTTTTTTTTTTTTTTTTGGATGCAAGATGTCCTGTGTCTTTCTGAGGGAAATAAGCTAGGATCCTGTCTCAAAATTCTAAGCAGGAGCCAAACTGCTCTGACTGGATGATTTTCTGGTTTCGCTACTCGGGTCAAAGCAGTCACTTCAGAATGAGAGTCTGCGCAACTGTCACCTGTAGAAAAATCCCGGCTAGCTAGCCAAAAAGTGTTACCTGAACTTCACGTTTTGCAAGATGCGATTGAAGTTATCGGCCACCCTCACGTGCCTGTCCTTAACTCGTGTCTGCATGCGCCTGGGCTTTCCCCACACCCAGCAGTGAGGCGACAAAAGAGTGTCCCTGCCAGTTTCTGGGTTACAAAGGCAGTGCAGAGCTTTCCTTCAGGAAAGGACACCATGGCAGCACGCAGCAGTGCAGAGAACGAGGCGACTTGCTTATTCGCGCCTGGGCCCTGGAGGGTGCGTTCAAGTCAGCAGATAAAGTGGCTGCAGGCAAAGGAAACGGGGGTGGTGGGGCTGATGCGTGAGTATTGGGACTTTAACGTATTGTGATAGCAGCAGCCGGGACTTCTCCTGGCTGCTAGTTGGTGATCGCCTGTCTCTGCTTTCAAACGCCCGGCCCCTTGCTCTCCAGTTCTCTCTCTGCTTCCCAGCCCGACCTCTGCCACGATGGGCCTTCCTTGGAGCCAGCTGACCCTGGGCTGGAAGCCTGAGCCAAGCTCAGTCTTTGTCTTGGGGTCTCTCCAGACCTCCCCTCGGCTTTTGTGGAGGCCGTCGCTGGCAGTGTCAGCCTGAGGTTGGGGCACACGCTCAGCCAGTGCCGCTCTGAAGCCATGCGGGGCATGCAGAGGAAGGACACGGGCGCCTCAGAGTGCCCTGGTGCTTTTTGCTTGTTGGGGTGGACTTTTGCCCCTCCACGCCTGACAGAGAAGATACAGATTAAATCTCCCACCTGGGACATCCCTGCCGTGCTGTGGCTGGACTGGAAGGAATTAAAAACTTCCAGAGCCGTGACTCTTCCTGTAGGAGAGGAAAATGCCCTTAGGGGTTTTAATTTTCCTGAAGTTTTTTCTTCCTATCTTGTCAAACTGTCAGAGACAAGTTTGGGGGTTTGGCTCAGTGGTTTCACCGCCTGCCTTGCAAGTGCAAGGGCCAAGTTCAATCTCTGGTACCAAAAAAAAATTAAATAAAATCTGACTGGACCTATTTGGTAAATAGGTAAATCGCTCCATGATAGTCAGCTATGTCTGGGGCAGGGGGGTGGTGAGACAGGGTCTCACTTATGTAGCCCAGGCTATCCTTGACTTCATTATGACCCTCCTGCCTCAGCCTCCCAAGTGCTGGGCCTATAGGCATTTGCCACCAAACCTAGACATAGTCATCTATGTCTTAAAGAATATTTTACATCATTTGTATGGTGTACAGGATTCTTCAAATTTCATTTCTCCACTATTATGACTGTCTTAGTAGTGCATGGTAATTCTCCCAGACTCTGCTCTGGTTTCCTCCCAGGTGGTCAGGACGTAATAACCGAGAGAAGATTGGGGTTCACGTCGGCTTTGAGGAAACCTTAAACATGGAGCCCTATTGCTGCAGGGAGACCTTGAAGTCGCTGAGACCCGAATGCTTCCTGTACGACCTGTCTGCCGTGGTGATGCACCATGGGAAAGGGTTCGGCTCAGGACACTACACCGCTTACTGCTATAACTCCGAAGGAGGTACACGCGGGGACGGCCTGGTCGGGGCCTAGCTTCCAAAGTCGGTGTTCGGGCTTCAGTGGTCTCTCAATTGCTTTTAAATTATAGTAAGCAAAGAATGCTTCTGAAGGACTATTGCTTTAAGAGAAAGGGCTTGAAGTTGTACTTGAAAATACCCACTGTACTATACCAAACTGTATTATACTATATAAGTAGAAAGTACTACAGTTGTTGCAGGTTTGTAGTACTTTTTATTGTGTAAGGGCTGTGAGGACAGGATAATGAAGACAGTTTTGTAAATGAAAAGTCAGGCCAAATGTGGGGAAGCATGCCTGTAATCCTAGCACTCTAGGAGGCCAAGGCAGGAGGATTGCAAGTTTGAGCCCAACCTGGGAAACCTAGAGACCCCGAATGACAACAGGTGCTGGGGGGTAGCTCAGTGCAAAGTCCCTTTGTTCAATCCTCGGCACCACACACGCAAAATCAAGTTTTGTTAAAAATATACTGCAAGGAGCCACACGTGGTGGCGCACACCTGTAATCCCAGCACTTGGGAGGCTGAGGCAGGAGGATCACTGTGAGTTCGAGACCAGCCTGGGCTACATAGTGAGTTCCAGGTCAGTCTCAACTATATAGTGAGACCCTGTCTCAAAAAACAAAACAAACAAACAAACAAATATATACGCACATACTGCAAGGAGTAGGGCCTTATGTTTATTGGTTTATTTCAGTTAATTTGTTAAAACAGCAGGGAAACTACTGAACTGGGCGAATCACAGATATGAGAAACAAACTTAAGGGTACAGGGCCTGGCATTTAGCTACGTTCTATTCCTAGGACCAAAAAACAGACAAGGAAAGAAACTTAAGAGTGCGGGTTCCGCACACACTGGGGTCGGGGGTCAGGTGCTCGCGCAGCCAGAGCAGCACAGCGCCCGAGCTGTATCTGGAAGAAGAGAACGCAGTCCCCGCTGAGCTCTGCTTCTGTGGCTCCTCTAGGGTTCTGGGTGCACTGCAACGATTCCAAGCTGAGCTTGTGCACCACGGCCGAGGTGTGCAGGGCCCAGGCCTACCTCCTGTTCTACACCCAGCGCGGCCCCGAGACCGGACATCCAGAGCCCCCGGCAGACGGCCAGCACCCCAGGGACGGCGCGGACACCACTGCCAGGGAGAGCCCTGGCTGACCGGGCCGGCGCGGTGCTGCTTGGACTTTATACACTGACTTTGTAAAGGGCCGAGTTAAAATTCCGAGCTTTTTAAAACTTAGGAAACAGTGAACACTACATTCATACATTTCATATTTAACAAAGCTCTTTTACAGGGATGAAACATAAACATGTTTTTCAAGCTCTTGGTTATCTTGCACTGTTCACCTCAGGCTCGTGTGCCCTCTTACTGTGGGTGTCTTCACTGGCTCCTCGAGAATTGGTGCCATCCGCCCAGGAAATGCAGGGAGGCATTTTATATGTGCTGTTGTTTGTACAGACTGTAAATGATGGAAAATTGGACAGTTTCTTCACAAATACGATTTTTTTTTTTTTTTTTTTTTTTTTTTTTTTTTTTTTTGGTACCAGAGATCGAACTCGGGTCCTTGCGCTTGTGAGACAGGAAGTGGAACCACTGAGCTAAATCCCAGGCCCTCTTCACGAAGAGTCTTAACCAAAAAAAGGAAAAGGATACTTCTTACAGGCCACTTGTATACTGGTCCCCTTTGCCCTGTGAAAGAAGCTAAGCTAACGCACTGAAAGCAACATATCAAGGCACCACTTCTCCAGAGTCACCGTCGCTGACACTCCCAAGATCACGCATGACAGGAGTCAGAAGAGACTTCAATTTGATTAATAGAATTTGATTAAAAATGTTAACTGCTGTTGGAGACTGAGGCAGGAGGATCACTGTGCGTTCGATGTCAGCCTGGGCTGCATAGTGAGCCCCAATCACCACAAACAACAAAAAAAATTTTTAACAGTTGTTCTTTATTTGGCATAGTCAAACTATATCTAAATGAAAATGGCAGATTTACAAATGTATTTTTTAAGTAAACTTTGTAACTATGGATTTGAAAAGGACAGCTGGGACTTAGTTGAATTTACCAAACCAGTATATGTTTTAGAGTTTATCTCAGATAGGAGATCATTCTGTATGTCTGATAACAGATCTCTTAAAGCTTTGTATAGCTTGAGATTTTTAGTTCCAGGGTATAAAAAAGTCTTAAAGAGGGCCAGGGATTTAGCTCAGTGGTGCTACCGCCTGCCTTGCAAGGTCAGGTTAGATCCCTGGTACCAAAAAAACAGGTCTTGAAGAAAAAACTTCATAGGCTGGAAAGGACCGTTCGGGATCGGCCCTGGGCTTCTTGGTTGTGTAGAGTCTCATTTTTCTAAGTGGCTGAAGCCTGGATTTTTACTCTTGCTAGAATTATATAAGTACTAGGCACCTCTTAGATGTCATGAGACCCTGGTCTTTTTAAAATTACAGTAAAAAGCATCTAAATCTGCAGGAAGAGCGGTGTGAGGCAGACACCATGCCCTTCCCGTTTCACCTCAGCTTGTCCCGGAGCCCTGCCGCCAACTGAAACGCGGAGCATCGCGTCCGTCACTGCTAATTCCTGGAACTGTGCCTGTTCCCTGGATAAGCTATTGGTGCTCAAGATCTAATGAAAAGTAATATCCTGTGACTATTTGCCAGTAGTGGTCACCTTAAGTATAAATTTGCAAGGGACCTATACTGGCACATTTTTTTTAGTTTCAAGAAACAACTCCCCTGGAGCAGCTGATGGCGAAGCACAAGGGGAGTTTACCCGCCCCCCCGCAGCAGCTTGTGCCAAAAATGCAGTGGAGAACTGAGCGGCCAGGGCGGGCTGCACCTCCACTGCTGCACTCATACCTCATTACAGACGACGTGTCTACCTTTCATCCCAAGGACTGCTTCTGAGCTGCATACTCCAGGCTGGCCTCTGACTCAAAAGCCCCCAGTTTAAGGAGTATTTTTAAAGTACTAAACATCATAGCTCCTAGTCTTAATGGGATTTTAAAAGAAAAAACTTGAAGCTGTGTTGTCTGTAGTGGCATAATTGCTTCTATTTATTTCAATGTAAAAATATACTAATAGCTGTGGGGAAAGGGGAGGTGTTGGATGGGCCACTGTATGTGGGAAATGTGCTTTCCACTAAATTATGCATCTAACCTAAATGATTAACAGAAATATAGCTTTCTTATTAAATATTCCAAGTCTCAGCATGGACTTGTACATTCTGCTATGTTGATCTAACAAAAAACGACGTGTTTTGGTTGTAAAATAATTTACTAAAGGCACTATTGTTAAACATCAAACTAATAATTTGTTGCCAATAAGGTACATCGTTGTAAACATAACAAAATGATTCGGATACATGGCTAGTAAGTAAACACAGATTTTCCCTAGGTGACGGCTTCCCTGTGTACAGAGCTTTTCCCTGACAGCCCCTCCAGGCCCAGGAATGCATATCTGAGAAAGGTTACTGCTGACTTCTAAAAGGAGACTAGGAGAGCCCCAAGCCTTCATTCGGGTCTTTTTCAAATCCTAGATTTAGAAAACAGTACATCCAGGCGAACACTGGAGCTCTGAGGAGGCATTCCAGGGGAGCTATGGACATTAGCACCAGAATAAACAGCTCAGCTAAGCTCTAGGTTGTTTTCCCTAGAAGGTAACATTCATTTACAGCTCTAACAAGGAAAGAGCGGCTCTTCTTCAACGTAACAAGTGATTTAGGTACATGAAGTCATAGGTTTCTCTGAAGAGGAAAACATTAAACAATACAGAACTAAACAGCATCCCGGAAGCAATCAAATCTCATTGAGCTAAAGCATACACAAATTAAGGCTTTACCTTGGCACATGACAATTCTGAAATTATGTTGGAACATTCCTGACAAACCACAAATTCAAGCAACAGAACCTGTAGCAGGGCTGAGTTCAGACAGGTCAGTGTTACACAGCTGACACCATGAGGAGACCCAGCTGCCCTAAGGAGAGGCTGGGAACCCAGACCAGCACCGGCTGACCCTAACCCTCGGCCCTCCCATCTAACCCTTCTAATGAGAGCAAGCCCAGAACATGGAAAGTGGGCCTGTTTTTTCCTTGTTTTTGTGGCTTTAAAGCTCTTGGGTTTTTTTGAGTAAGATGAATATATTTCCTAACAAGTACTACCAATGGACTAAGGATTAAAATATTGATTTTTACTACATAAAACTTTTTCAGGTTGGCACAATGTTCCTACTAAGTCATGTTTTGGTTAGTACATCTTTCCAATGTCAGGGGAAAAGAGACGGGTACTAAGAAAGTCCAAATATTCCTAGAGCTCAATCTTCGCTTACAAAGAAAAGCTTGTCCTACTTTATGCACAGGAAGATCGACTTGGCTTCTAAGCCCACAGTGTCAGTGTGGAGGTCTACACGGTGGCCAGCCACTTCCTGTCCACAATTACAACCACAGACATTGAAATGTAGTTCTCAGATCTGAAAATGTCTTTATTTTTTAGAAAATGGATTCCAGGAAGGTTAAAAAGCAATACCAGAGGGCAGAAGTGGATGTAGTAAGTAGGTCATTCAAAGCATTCAAGTAAGAATATGGCAATATAAATATCCAAAAAGCACGACTTAGGTGTTCCAAACAAAATGTGTAAGTCATTCCTAACTAATCTGAGCTGCAGAGCATTTCCTAGACAGGGAGGAGACAGTTAACATTTGAAAGTCCTGAAAGCCTCTTCTTAGTTAATTACATTAGACGGTTTGCCTCTGATCAAAATCAAATTCTTTTAAACATGGGTAAAGTATGACACAGGTCCACTGTTAAGACATTTTGACAGCACGCTGCAAGTTAATTCTGGTGTAACGTATTCCAACAAAGCTTAGAAAATAAGGATGTTGAGGTGGCTTTGGACTACATTTAATAGTCGTCTCCTCTGCTGACGACTTCCTTACAGGTTGGGCGCAGCAGGATGGTGTGTTCGAACTGCGCTGTGTACGACCCCTTAATGTCACACAGTGGAGGGTACGGGTCCACGATGCCCAAGTCACACAGGTTCTTCAGCGCCATCAAGTACTTGCTTTCCCCCAGGCGATCCAGCCATCTGCGGCAGAAGGCGAGGGTGCCAAAGTTTTCGTTGATGACATTTAACAAGTGTTTTGTTCTTGGAAGCCTATGGAGAAAAACTTAAGATTAACTGTTGGCACAGAAGCCACCAGCTCACTTCCCCCATTAAGAAAAACCCAAATCCAAGCTCCACAACGTCTGCGCTCCTTGGCTTCCCTCCTCCTTTCAGGGCGGGGATGGAGCCCAGGGGCTCAGCAAAGCTGTGTGCCCATGCACACCTGTTAACTTCCCAGGTACAAACTCATTTACACAGAATGATGGAAGTCGCCGTTAGTACATGAAGCTCAAAGATCACACAAAAAGGTATAACGCCTTCAACGATCTCCTATGAGAGGTTAAAAGGAGTATGATACAAGTTCAAGTACGAAATTTACCGAGACAATACTAACGCCAAAAACCTATGAATTCTAGCAAAATATTAATACTATTACCAGAATTTAGGCTTACCTTTTCTTTGACAACAGAAACCCACAGAACCGCCTGTGTGTCATTTTTTAAATGATGTGAACTGGGAAGCGATGCCCATCAGCCCTAAAGCAGTCACTCACCTTATTGGCACGTGGCCAACATCAAAATTCTTCATGTAATGCGAACACTCCATGTCATCGTGAACCACACCTTTGCCTGTGCTACCGAAGGTCTCGATGGCATACACTTCTCCTTCCTTCAGAAACAGGACGGCGAGAAGAGATTCAGAAGGCATCCCGCTTGCCACCTCGGACTCCCACTGCTGTAAACAGCGCCCGTTGGCCCCAGCGCCCCGCCATCCGCTCTCCCAGAACTCGTGTGCCGTGTGCAGGCAGCGCCCCCAGGGGTGGACTGGGGCTCTGCCCAGGCGCAGGCCTGACTTTGCAGCCACCCACCTCCATCCGCGTGGCCTCCCCACCCTTGACGATGGGCACGGTCTTCCCCGCGTGAATCCTGTATGGCCCAATCGAGTGTCCGTTCAGATTGCGGATTGGCTTCACTGTCACAACAGGGAAAGAAACGTTATGCAGGTTTTCTAGAAAGGTAAAGAGATTCCTGGCTTTTTCATAGAGAATTCCAGCATTTACTGCAAAGCAACATACTGCTCCACTGAACTGCCTCTTCTAAGACTAACTTAGAGGAGCAAAAGGGAGACGGAAAAGTCGGGATGAGATTAAAGCAAGAACCATGTATGGAGTGTCACTGAAAACATAAAAATGCCATGTACACAAATGCTTAGAACAGGAGAAATACATATCTGTGTGGTTACAGAACAAGGAATGTGAAAGGATACAGGTCACAATGACAGTTTATGAAACGTTCCATCTCAGTATCCTGAAATCAATGACAAAATACACGAATTGTGGCAGTTACACAGCGGAACATCAGTCAGCAATTAAACAGCCAGGGATGCATTCAACAGATGGAGTGAATGTGAAGAAAATGAGCTGAAGAAGACAATTCTATCCCCCGTCTAACTTGGAAAGGGAGGTCATAACAGCACAAGTACAGGACATCAGTACATATTCGCTACAACCAGGGTCTCTAAGGGTTTCGGCAACTTCTCAGTTCAACAAGTCTTTTCAAGAACACTGTCACGGTGTCCTTTCAAGCTGCATGTGCATCAGAAACCCAGAAGGAACAGGCTCTATAGCAATGAACCGGGAAAGTAGAAGGCCTACCCTGTAGCTCTGCAAATTCCTCAAATCAGTTTTGCACTTAATTCCTTTGATCTGTTTCCTCCAAGATTAGAATACAGTACACTTCCAGGAAGCCCACGTTACTGAGATGGTAACAGAAGCAGCTAACCCTAAAACTGCTTCTTTTTTACAAGAACCAGGAGGGGCAGATGAAGGAGTAAGTGGTCACCAAATTTTTTTTTTTGAGACAGGGTCTTACTGTGTAGTTGAGACTGACCTGGAACTCACTATGTAACCCAGGCTGGTCTCAAACTCACAGCGATCCTCCTGCCTCAGCCTCCGGAATGCTGAAATTATAGGCATCTGCACCAAACTTCTTTTTTACAAGAACCAGGAGGGGCAGATGAAGGAGTAAGTGGTCACCAAATTTTTTTTTTTGAGACAGGGTCTTACTGTGTAGTTGAGACTGACCTGGAACTCACTATGTAACCCAGGCTGGTCTCAAACTCACAGCGATCCTCCTGCCTCAGCCTCCTGAATGCTGAAATTATAGGCATGTGCCACCATGCCCGGCAATTCCAAATTCTCATTGAGACTCAAAAACTACACACTGGGACAGTAGAAAGGGCCTCCAGCTTTTCTGCACCGACTACCAGTCCCAGGCAGCCAAGCTCACACACTGGCTCCCTCAGATCAACCTCTCAGAGGTCAGCAAGGAGCCATGGCTCCCAGGGAGTGACTGTGCACTCCCATTTTTCCTCCTTTACATTCCTAAGACACAAGGACAAAAAGGTTGACCTAAAGAAAGCCATGGGCTAGGCATGCTGGCGCATACTTATAATCAAAGAACTCCTAGAGGCTGAGACAGGAGGGCGATCAGTTCAAGCCCACTCTGAGCAACTCAGGAGACCTTGTCTCAGAATATAAAACAGGACAGGGATGCTGCGGCCTGCCTCATCAGCGCAAGGGCCCGAGTTCCATCCCTGGTCCATAAAAAAAAATTTATGTATATATATATGTGTGTGTGTGTGTGTGTATATATATATATATATAAATAAGCTGAAGAGGCAAGCAGCTTGGGATGAAGCCCTGCGTTCAATCCCTAGTACCACATAAAAGAGAGATGGAGCAGGGAAAAGAAAAAGAAGCAAGCAATAATAGTTGATCAAATTAATTTCAAAATGAGATCCTTCCGAAAGGGCCGTACCTTGGTATGTCTTCCCATCTATCTCTACTTCATAGGACTCCATAACTTCCTGGATGGCCTCACCGACATCACACAGACGAACGTCAATGCCAGCACACTAAAAACAATAATGTACATTCTGTTTATCAAAATGCAAAATTTTACAGCGACCCAACTTCCTAATATTTAAAGGCCAAAGCACCTCCCGTACATAAGACTGAGCAGACTGAAAAGGCAGCAAAGCAAGACACATCAGAAGCCAAGTTCTGAGTAACAGGACTGCGGGGAGATCTGTTTCCAAGAAATGTAAGGTCTGTCTGAATTCTAACTGGAACGTCTCCGACCGAGACACCAACTCATGGCCGGATCTGGGTGACAGTGCCAGACTCTGGAGTCCCTTGAGATGAAAGCTTTACACGTTCAGAACACGTGCCCACTGGGCAATTCATTTCCATCCGTTTTAGTCCTCAGCACAGCAGCAGTGTCCCCACCCCTGCCACAGAGCCCAGCGCGGGCGCACTCCCGGGACCCGTGCTGTGCCCCTGAAGCAGGCAGTGCCGACCACTGTGCCTGTCCTTCCCTCCTCTTAGGAGCCACACATTCAGGATCATGACACTCAAAACTATCTGAGAAAAACTCAAAAGGGAACACACACGCCCGGGAAAGCCTGAGTACAGGCTCAGAAAGATCTGAGACCTTATGTTTCCATCTTAGGAGGATTCTTGACAGAGACAGAAGAAAACCTGAAAGCCATGAAAGCAGTAAATACCAAGAGCCGGGGAAAGCGAAGAATCGGATTTCCAGAGTTACCACATGAGATTCTAATACACAGTGTTCAAGACAGTTACAAGGCTTCCAAGGAAAGAGGAAGGATCAAAGGAAACAAGTTACCAAACTGTTATTGAAACAGATCTGATGGATGAACTGGACAAAGATTTTTTTAAACAATTCTGAAGAAAGGAAAAAAAAAAAGCAATGGAAATATCAATAAGGAGATCCAAAAAACAACTGAAAACCCAGAGCTGAAACGTACAGTGACTGAAATAAATGAAAATTTCACTGGAGAGGTTCCATGGCTGAAACGAGCAGGTGGAACTGGCCACCGGCAAACAGCACACAGGCAATGCTACACTGAAGGATGAGAGGGAAAGCGAGCCTGACAAATCTCAGCACCAAGCTGTATCGTGGGTGGTCAGAAGGACGAAAAAAGAGTAGAGAGAATATGTAAAGAAATAATGCCTGGAAACCCCAAATGATGAGACACAAATATCCAAGAAGTTCAATGAACACCAGGTTAAGACACACACTGAGACTTAAAAATAGTCTTAGTCTAACTGCCAGTGGTATACATCTTTGGGGTTTTTTTTGTTGTTTTTTTTTTGGTGGTGGTTGTTTCTGTACTGGAGATTGAACTCAGGACCTTGTTTGTACCTGCCAGGCAGGCACCGCGCCACTGGGCTAAATCCCCAGCCCAGTATTATATCTTTGGGTTGACTCTATATTGTTTTCTATATAATTTGGGGAAACTGCTCCCAGTTATTTAAGGCTGAGGCAGGAGGATCACAAGTTCAAGGCCAACCTGGGCAACTCAGCCACAACCTGCCTCAAAATAAAAAGGAAGATGTGCCTTGGTAGAATGCTCCTGGGGTCAATCCTGAGTGGCACAAAAGTTTTTTAAAAGCCCCAATGTTGCGGTTCAGTGGGAGAACCCTTGCCTACTTTGCAGATGGCAGCCCTAGATTCACTTCCAATCAATTGATCAAATTTTTCAGAGAAAAAGAAAAACATTCAAAAATTCATATGGCTTTTAAGGGACTGAATTGCATAGCCAAAACGATCTTTAAAAACAAAAACAGGATTCTCGCTTCCTATTTTGAAGATATTTTTCCTTTTTTGTTGGCAGTACCAGAAATTGCACCAGCAGCTTCAAACATACTAGGAAGCACTCTACCACTGAGCTACTGCTCCAGTCCTTTTAAAAAATTCTGAGGGCTGGGGATTTAACTCAATGGTTCCGCCACTTTTCCCAGTAACCACATCCCCCCCCCGCAAAAAAAATCTGAGACGGGGTCTTGCTACGTTGACCAGGCTGGCCTCAAACTTGCGACCCTCCTGCCTCAGCTTCTCGAGTAGCAGATCACAGGCATATGCCATGGTGCCTGGCTCAAAACTTCTAAAGCTACAGTAATCAAAACAGTGTATGTGGTACTTCAATAAAAAAGACACACAGACCCCCAGAACAGACAGCCTGGAAATGCACTGTCACACAGTGCCAGTGATTGTGACAAAAGCACCAAGACTATCCAACAGGGATGAGTCTTCAACAAATGGCACTGGGAAAGCCAGATAGCCACAAAAAACTGAATAAAGACATGGGGGGCCCGAGGCAGGAGGATTTCAAATGTTAGACCAGCTTGGACAACTCAGCCCTTATCACAAAGGTGGGGGTGTGTGTGCCTCAGTTCCGAGGCCCTGGGTTCAATCCCTAGCACTGCAGAAAATAAAATATAAAAAAGAAATGAAGAACCCCCAACCAAAAAACATATGCAAAAATTAACTTTAGAATGCATCAAAGAGAGCCAAGTATTGTGGCGCATGCCTGTAATCCCATCCCTGGGGAGGCGGAGGCAGGAGGATCACTGAAAGTTTGAGGCCAGCCTGGAACTTAGCAAGACCTTGTCTCAAAAAAATAAAAGAATCAAAAATTTAAAATAAGACCTAAAGCTATGAAACTGTCAGAAGCAAACAGGACAAAAGCTTCATAACTATATATAGCAATGATTTCTTGGATATACCAGAAGCACAGGCAACAAAGGAAAAAAACAGATAAAGTGGATTTCATGAAAATTAAAACATTTTGTTCATCAAAGCACAACATAATATATGCGCACCCATGTTTATAGCAGCACAGTTTGTAACAGCTAAAATTTGGAAACAGCCCAACTGCCCATCAACTGGAGACTGCATAAAGACGTGGTTTCACTATAAAATGGATTACTACTCAGACACACAGAATGAGAAACTAGAGATATTTATAGCTAAATGTATGCACACTGAGGCGATACTCTTTTTTTTTGGTAGCAGGGATAGAACTCAGGTCCTTGCACTTGCAAGGCAGGTGATGGAACCACTGAGCTAAATTCCCAGCCCGAGGCGATACTCTTAAGTGAAATAAATAGGGCACACTTGAGTAAACACCAAATAGTTTCTCTGGTGTGAAAAACTAAAAATGTGAATAAGGTTCAAATGGTATAACTGGGAGTGTGAAACAGGAAGAAAATGGCTAAAGGTAATGTGGGAAGGGGAGGGAAAAGGAAATAAAGGAAAAGAAAAAATGTGAAATGGAAACAGTCTTTGTAAATAGGGAAGGGTGAAAGGGGTGAAGGGAGGGCAGGGGGACAGGGAAAAATAAGAACCAAGACCTATCATGTAAAGGTACAAGATCCCAATGATAAATGTAACCGTACTGTTTGCTTTAAATGTACCAATAAACTTACTGGGGGAAGGAAAAAAAAAAACACATCATCAATGCAATAAAAAGGCAATTCATGGAGGGGGAGAAAGCATTTGAAAATCGTGTTATCTGATAGGGGACTGGCATCCAGAATATACAGAAAACTCAGCAACACAAACACCTGATCCAAAGACACGAAAAGGAATGGGCAGATGGTTCTCAGCTCTCCAAAATGATGCTGGCCAGTAAGTGCCTCTCCTCCACCCATCGCCACAGAAGTGCAAATCCCCGAGATAGGAAGACACCCACAGGCCCTTAGGGCGGCAGCCCAGGTAAGAACCCGAGGGTGCCAGTGCAGCCAGGTGGGAGACTGGGCCCTTCCCCGTCGGCAGGGCCACTGTGGGAAACAGCGTGGCCGTTATCCAGCGTTAGGAACGTAACTGCCACCTCACTCAGTGGTTCCACTTCTGAGTGTGTAACCCAAAGAACAGAAGTGGGCTCTCAGAGACGTGTGCACCGTCATCACGACAGCCTGAGCGCAGGCACAGAGGGCCAGTAGGTGCCCGTGCATGTGCGATTATCCCGTCCGTGGGTGGACGGCCGGCAGAGACCACCACACCGGTGCACCTTAAAGACACTATGTATGCCACGTGAAACAGCTCACACGACACGCTTTCCGTGATCCACTCGGGTGCTCAGGGTAATCGGCAGCACAGCCGGCACAGGGTGACTGGCAGGGCTGGGAGGAGGGAAGGAGAAACTCGTATTTCATGGGCGCCCAGCTCCGGTCCATGAGAGGAGTTAAAAGGCAAGCGTATGGAAGGAATCCCACGCACAAGAGGGAAGGTGGCAGATCTGTGGGCGCCAGTGTAGCGGAGCACAGGGCGGGGGAGGGCCGTGTGGACACCGCCCACAGCAGGACACTGGCCAGCGGGGCTCACAGGGAGCCCGCCCTGACTGCTCGCTCAGAACATCTGGGCAGCTGTTCGTTTTTGTACAGGGATCAAATTCGGGACCTTGTGCTGCCAGGCAGGCAGCGGAACCACTGAGCTAAATCCCTGGTCCTGCTCAGTTCTGATGTGCAACTAAAACTACTCTAAAGTAAGTTTGTTAACAACCAAAACCAAAACAAACTAAACAATTTTCCAACCTGTACTAGAGTGAGACCCTGTCTCAACAACAACAAAAATCACTGAAATGGGGCTTACAGTTCACCTACCTTTATTCCAGTATTAGTGGCATCTTTTACCGCTTTTAATAATATATCATATTTGGGATTAAAGGTGACAGTAAAAGCACAGTCAATAATCCTACCTGAAAGAAAAAAATCATCTGTAAGTTTACGTATCAATTTATTTACTTTATAGAATTTATTAATCTATAAAATAAAAGTCACAACAAAAAGAAAATAGAAGCCAGGCATGGTGGTATACTCCTGCAACCCCAGAAATCAGGAGGCTGAGGCATGAGTGGTGTCTTGACTCTTAGGCCTGCTTCAATCACACAGAGATCCCACTTCAAAAAAACTGATAGAATGAGGGACTCAAAGGAGGGAAGCTTTCCAAGTCCCAGGAGATCGCATCACCAGAGGCACAAGGTAGGGAGTAGAGTTTATAGAGTAAAACCAATGAATTATAAGGCTGGCAAACGGACTCTGAGACAGCAGGGATCCAGCACTCTCCCTCCTGCACTGTTATGCAGACAGAAACAAGATGAAGCAAGAGGAAGGGAAAGCAGGCAGGGTCACACAGGGCAGGGGAAAGGCACAGAGCAGAGCCCTGAGGGTGCCACTTTTCAGAGTTCAATCCCAGCTCGCTCACTTGCCTGGCTGTGAGGTGACGAGGTGCTTGGGGGCAATTTGGAAAAGCAAACATGTACATACAAGTGGAAAAACTGGAAGGCCTGAGATAAATTTATTATTTAAATGTTTATTATTAAAAAGGATATATAAAACAAAGACCTGAAGGAAAAAATACGGGCTAGCTCCACGCCTTAATACAAAAATAAGCTTCAATTTCCCAACAGTCTTCACCTTAGGTAGGGTGCTTTAAAGTAAGTCTGAGTGTGCTCTACTGAAAATTTATAAGCACAGTATTTATAGCCCCACCCAACACACACAAAACTAGAGGTTTTATTTCGGTTTGTTCTGGGTGGGAGCAGAAGGTAGGATTGTCTCCACACACTCACCACTTATATGTGTTCCAAAGTCGATCTTACAGATGTCATCGTACTGCAACACCGTGGTGTCGCCCGCGTTGGGCGTGTAGTGTGCGGCACAGTTATTGAGAGAACAGCCCGTTGGAAAGGCCAGGCCTGCATTCAAGCCGTTCTCTTTGATGAGCTTGCGTGAACAGTCTTCCAACTTCTCACTGAAACAGAAGTAACGGAGATGGGTTTACTTTCATACTCATACCTTCACATGGGGTATAGCTCAAAGCTCCAAAATCTACTAAAATCCTGAGTGACAGGAGCACTTTCTGGATGCTATGAAAATACCTCTTCTACAAAATATAAGGAAATAAATTCTTTTAGAAACCTCTAGAAAACACCAGCCACGCTGAACTTCATTTGCCAGGAAGTCTCAACCTTGACAAGCTGAAGAGCTGATTGTATTTGCTCCTGGTGTGTATTTAAATATCGACTTGCCGGGGATTTAGCTCAGTGGTTCCACCGCCTGCCTCAGAAGCACAAGGACCCAAGTCCAAAAAAAAAAAAAAAACAAAACCCAAAAAACCAAACTGACTCAACCTGACAAGTTGTCTTCCATAAGATTTTCTCGAGATGGACACAAAGGCATCAGTTTCCTGGTTCCCTGCCTGCACTATAGTCGCGTGCTATGTCTAGACACTTCTTCTAGCGACTTTGAGTCTTAGTAAGCACTGTCACCGAGCAAAACAACAGCGTCCAGGCAGAGGCGCCGAGCGTGCAGGCTGCACCCCTTAGGGTCTCCTCACCAGGGAGCTACTGCAAGAGCTTGCAAGGCAGGTAAACATTCTTCAGTCTTTTAGCAAAGTGGTATGGAAAGCCAAATATTACAATTGGAAAACTGGTACTAAAAATTTTTTGTTTTATCGTGTTCTTACAAAAATGTGTCTTTACCAGATCTCTATCATCGCCATCCCAGGCTTGATCCAGCTCATGACGTATTTTCTAACTTGTCGATGTGCTTCCGCGGCTTCTCGGAAATCATTCCAAACCTCCTCGCTGGCCTGATCTAACGCTTTCTTTTCTTCACTTGTAGTTCTCCAAGTAGCTGTTCGCCTTTAGAATAGGCACATCATAGTATGAGTCATTTAAAAAGAGAGCAGAACAAGCACAAAAGCTGAGGGGGACAAAAACATACCAAGCAATTTATTTTAGGTAAAGTATATTATAATACATTCAGTTTACGCATGTCAAAAAAGTTTCTGAAATACCAAAAGCCACATTCTTGCAACCAACCCAAATCAAGTTCAGTCTTATTTTAAGACTCCTGGGGAAAAAAATCTCTCTGCTCAGACTTCATTCATAGGCAGAAAGACTAAAACCCTGCCAACATAAAATGACAAAACAGGCCGGGGATTTAGCTCAGTAGTGCCTTCTCCGGCCTCACAAGTGTAAGGTCCTGAGTTCAATCCCTGGTACCAAAAAAACAAAACAAAACAAAAACCACCATCGAAATACAAAATGACAAAACAGGAGAGAACTAGAAAAGCCAGATAAGAATCCTAGAAACCAAGCAGGCGGGGTGTGCGTGACAGAGAGAAGATCCTTGAGCTAATAAATACTTAGGAGCCCTCAAAGAAGTCCACCAAATCAGCACCACCCACAGAACCACCAAGAGCCATGCCTCCTCTCACACAACTGTGTGGCACCTGCGTGTAACCCATGCACAGCCTCCCAAACCATCACTGGGTTACTCAAAATACCAAACGTACTGTGAACGCTATGAAAATAGCTGACAGGGCCCCGGGGATTTAGCTCAGTGGTTCCACTGCCTGCCTTGCAAGCACAAGGTCCTGAGTTCAATACCAGGTACCAAAAAAAAAGAAAAGGAAATAGCTGACGCACTATTTAGAGAATAACAAGAAAAAGTGTGTACATGTTTAATACAGATGCAATTTCTTTTTCTTTTTTTTTGGGGGGGTGTCGGCAATTGAACTCAGGACCTTGCGCTTGTGAGACAGGTGGTGGAACCACTGAGCTAAATTAATCCTCAGCCCCAGATGCACTTTCTTAAAAGGCACTTTTGGTCCACAATTGCTTGGAGCCACAGAGGCAGAGCCCAGTGATACAAAAGGCTGAAAATATGAATCCGAAGCCTGACCTAGAATCCACATGCGCACTCCCCACAATGCAGGACACTGTGCCAGTACAGGGTTTTCCCAGCGGCGTGTGTACTGGAAGTAACCCTCCACTTAAGAGACACAGTTTGGGAAACTGAAACTGCCAGCATTAACAGATTTTTATGTTTAAGATCTGGAACAAAAGGCATCGACTCCCTTCAAACAGCACATTTTCAAAACATTAACTGTTTTAAAATGAAAATCTTTTAAAAACCACTTCTACACATTTTTAGGTAATGCTGAATACAGTTCCTAACCCCGTGATCACCAGTGTAGAAAGTGATGCCATACAAAAATCCACCTGTCCCGGCCAGTGGCTCAGAGCAGAGCCACACAAGCCCCCAGTGCCCCCTGTGAGTAACACCATACTGCGCACAGCTGTGCTCAGACTTGGATGCAGCAGGGGCAGAGGGGATGGCAAAGCCTTTTACTACTGGTTTCTTCACAGCTGAAAACTGCCCACAACTACGCTGAACTGCACATGCCAGGGCCAGAGTTGTAGCTCAGCAGCGCTGCACCTGCCTCACAAGCGCAAGGTCCTGACTTCGATAGCTGGTACCAAAAAAGTAAAATTAAACTAAAAATAAATAAACTAAGCATGCACAAGTCAAGGCCCCAATGCTGACTTCACCCCATGTGCCCACCACCCAGGCCTGGGGGTTTTCTGGCCTGCACCGGGCGCCCACTGTGGCACTAGTGGGCCTGGCTTGCTCTCTCTGGTGGGAAGGTATTTTCCATCTGCTGATGCTGTCAGATACCAAACCAGCACCATGCTGGCAAACTCTAGTCAGCTCCTGCCTCCCAAAGTACTTAAAACTGCTTTAACAGGAAGAGGAAACTCAGGCAACCATGTAGCCCTAGCCCCTTCTCCTCCGCAGATTCAAGTCTCATCTGAACCAAGGACCCAAATGTTCTAAGTCTCTCTGAGGCATAAAGGTACGAGTGATACTCCTAGATCTACTTTGTTTTTATTTGTTTTTTTTGGTACCAGAGATCAAGCTCAGGACCTTATGCTACATCTACTTTTAAATGAAATACATCTCAACTTTTCACCTCTCACACAGGCCATAATGCAGGTACCTACACCACAGCTGCAGCTGGCAGTAAAGCTTTTTTTTTTTTGGTAAATACGGGATCTTGCTGTGTAGTTCACACCAGCCCTATGTAACCCAGGCTGGCCTCAAACTCAAGGCAATCCTCCTGCTTCAGCCTCCAGAGAGTGCTGGGATTACAGGCATTGCCACCACACCCAACTGCTGGCAATAAAGTTTTAAGGACCACCCACTTCAAAATGCAAAGGTTTTGTGAAAAGAAAAATCACCAGCAAATATTTACTGTAGAGTAATAAGATGAAGACTGTATCTACAGGAACTTAATAGAACTGCTGAATCTAGGGCCATAAAGGGGCAGTGGTACAGGTTGGGCATCGTGGCACACGCTTGTAGTCACAGCACTCGGGAAGCTGAGGCAGGAGGACTGCTGTGAGTTCCAGGCCAGCATGGGCTACAGTGAGTTCCAGGTGAGCCTCAACTATATAGCAAAAAAATATAAGTTATCAAAAAAATTTGTTTTAATTTTTAAAAAAGGGGCACCAATTCTAATTCCTGCCCCTCACCCACCCTTCAGATTCTTTCAGGGTTTTTTGTGTGTTTTTTTTTTCTTGGTAGCAGGGACCATACTTCAGACCTTGCTCTGGTGAGCTCAATCTCTGGCCCCTCAATCCATTTCTTTAAAGGTTAAGCCACCAGCAGGGCATGGTGGTGCACACAGCCTGGGCTACACAGTGAGACCCTGTCTCAAATAAACACCAGAAATGAAAAAGGTTAAGACACAAGTATAATTAAATTGCAAATGTATTTCTATTACATTTTACAATCAGAATATGGCCTAATAAACCCCCAATACTGAAATCAAAAGATGTCATGAACACCTAATACTTTTTTCTCTTTTTGAGACAGGGTCTCACTATGTAGTTCAGGCTGGCCTTACACTCATTACACAGCCCAGGCTGGGCTCTATCCTCCTGCCTCAGCTTCCCAAGTACTGGGATGACAGGTGTGCGCCACCATGGCTGGCAGAAATTATGAAGATGTGATGAAAAAACCTAATGACCTCACTGAGCTCTTAACAATCATTCCAAGTGAAGAGTCACCATTCAAAGGACATGCGCAGGGTAGAAATGCCTTTCAGACATAGTACATGTGCAAGAAACAACTGAAACTGCTTAAAAGGTCGCTGTGCTGGACGTGGTGGTGCACGTCTGTAATCCCAGCTCTTGGAAGGCTGAGGCAGGAGGATCTTGGAGAGTTTGAGGCCAGTCTGAGCTACATAGTGAATTTCAGGGCCAGCATGAGCGAAAAAGAAAAGGGAGATCCTGCCTCTAAAAACAAAAAACAAATACAAAAAAAAAGCTCACCTTTCCAGGGAGTATTTACAGAACATGCAAATGTATCCTGCTCTTTGATGTGGGGGAAAGGGGTGCTGAGGATTACACTCAGGGCTTTCTATCTGCACTACATCCCCAGACCATTTTATTTTTTAATTCTGTGACAGGGTCTTGCTGAATTACCGAGCTGCCTAGGCTGGGCTCACACTTGCAGTCCTGCCTCAGCCTCCCAGAGCTCCAGGACTACAGGGGCACACCAGCAAGCCCACTGTTCCATCACTTTTGTCAGTGGCCACACAAGGCAGTGAAATAGGGTAAAATCAAGTCATAGAAAGGTATCTTTTTAAAACGGCAATTAATGTTAAATAGCCACAATATTTATGGCCCCATTGCACGGATAACTAAAAAAACTAATCACATCTGCATTTTAAAGCATTACATGGCATATTTGTAAAACCCATTTGCTTTTTTGGGGTAGGGTCTCGCTATGTAGCCCAGGCTGGCCTCGAACTCACAGCCATCCTGCCCCAACTTCCCAACTGCTGAAAGGTAAGCTTTTAGCCCAAAACACACATGGATATGACATAAATTCCTTTCTCTGAAAACTGATAAAGGGCAAAAATAAAACATTTTAAATCTGATGCCAAGGGCCGAGGATTTAGCTCAGTGGTGCCGCTGCCTTCCTCGAAAGCGTGAGTTCGATCCCTGGTACCAAAAAACAGAAAATATCAGTACCCAAATAACTGAGAATATTAGCATCCACCTTGCAGAGGAGGAAATGAAAGTCCACCATGAAGCCCAGTGAGAAACAGCAGGCAGCAGCCTGTGCCCAGCTTCCAGGTAAATGTGCCAGGAGCCAAGAGCGAGTTGTCAAACCGGTCCGGCCACCTGTACTCTTACTGTAATTACCTACCTAACGCCCTCACGTGGAAAGGTATTAAAAGTCCCAATGGAGACGAACATCAAAAAACACTTCTGTCAAACTAAATCTAGAGAAGAACTGTAAACATGTGAAGGTACGGACAGGTGACTCAGAACCCCAGAGTGGAAATCACAGGTGATGCGCTATGAGTACAGTTCAATATGAGTACAGTTCATACAGGAAAATTAGATCAACGCAAATCCACGGTGACGTGTTGAGAAGCAAAAACCAAATTTCTGTTAACCTTTACTACAAAGATTAGTTTTTGTAACCCCCACTTTAATATCTGTTCAACTGGCCAATCGTTTTGGGTAAGAGGGCTTTTACTGTATTTCCTTCATAACACTCATAAGCTTTTAATAAAACAGTGACGTTCTGAGGACAACGCAATCTGCTTTATGCCCAGCCCCCCAAGTCCGCAGAGCGGCGCGGGGCTTCCGGCCCTTACCCGTCCTGTGTGGGTGGGTACTCGCACTCCTGTCCCTTCGGGAACACGCCGCTAGGGTACAGGTCACAGATTGGCACCGAGGGAGGGTCTGTCTGAACCTTTGCTGTGAGACACAAATTAAGCATTAACTTCTGTACTTACAAATAAAGGCATCATTGCAGCTTTTTTTTTTTTTTCAGTACCGGGGATTGAATTCAGGTCCTTGTGCTTACAAGGCAGACAGTGGAACCACTGAGCTAAATCCCCGGCCCCACTGCAGCTTTTTGTTCTACAGCTGTTCTGCACGTTGTGATTTTACTCTCTGTTGCCATTTTACAGCCACCAACAGAAGACACTTCCCAGGCGGGCACCTCCTCTGACTAAGTGCTGCGTGGGAAGAGGAAGCGCTGGCCTCTTAGGAAGTTTTCATCTTCATTTACTATGGCAGAGATGCAACAAACAGAGGCTGGCTTTCACAGGTAAAGCCCAAAGAAGTAACAAGTAACACCTGACAGCAATAAAACCAAACGTGAACCTATTTCACGGTTTTAACAAACTACATGAGAAACTATTATTTGGAGGGAAGGTTAGTAAGTTGTGAGCATGCTCAATAGCTGCTGACACTTCAGTACTCAGCAAACACCGCAGGCAATGTCTCCCAAACCATACAGAGGTTGAACATCCATTATCCAAAAACTCAAACCCGAAACTTCCTGAGCGCTACACAACTAGGAAATTCCTGGTTTCCTGTGGCAGTGATAACCAAAGGTGCACTAACAATACTATGTAAAATTACCTCAAAGGGCACCTGTGCAAAAAACCAAAAGCCCAGTGTGGTGGCACACTAGGCCTAGCCCTCGGGAGACTGAGGCAGGATTGACGTGAGTTCAAGGCCAGCCTGGACTACATAGCAAGAGTATCTCAAAATTTTTTAATTTAAAAAACAAAAGAATTTCATGTTTAGACTTAGGTTCTACCTCCAAGATATCTCACGATGTATATAGAAACATTCCAGTCTTAAAAAAATCCAAACTCTGCAACACTGCTGGCCCAAGAAGTTTGGAGGGGAACACAACTGTAAAGACACCAGTGTATCCCGAGACACTCTCAGAGCAAAATGCCTAAGAACGACACATATAGTCCTTATGCAAAAACTTGTCTTTTAGTACAAAGGTTGCACCCAAGGAAGGCCAAGAAGTTGCAAGAGAGTTAATTTATGCAGCAATCAATCTATGACTTTCATTGCAGACAGCTACAGCTTTTAAAAGCTCCTGAGATTGAGTAGTTTCCTTTGGATTATAACTGGCCGTACATTACAGATATTTGTCTTAAATTTTAACATTTTGCTCCTTTTGTTCTGCAAATGCAAAAAAAGCACAGAAAAATATGACCATGTATTGAGGCAAATCATTTATCTGTGGAACCATTTCCTCCTTCAATCCAAACAGCCTCTCAAGAGTGCTTTCTCTTGTGTTTTCTCCCTGTGTGACAAGGTTTTAACACTTTCTATGAGCCATAAAAGTGGGAAACACTGCCTTAGGGTCTTCCTATTACGTGTCCCTAAGCACAAACAATGATAAAACCAGAACACTTTACAGGTCATCTAACTCCGCTTCCACTCTGAGGACCGCTTAGCGCTCTGGCGGATAGCACCGCGCTCCTGTCAATGGAGGCCACCACGGCCTCTCCCCCCACAGTCCACACCCATGGGGACATCACTGCCAGGAGCCCTTCCTGCTTTGGAGTTTAAGAAAAATGTACTAGGCTGGGCGTGGTGGCACACAACAGTGATCCCAGCACTCAGGAATCTGAGGGAGGACTGTCACAAACCCGGTCAGCCTGGCCTACATAGTGAGACCCTGTCTTAAAAAATAAAAAAGAAAGCACTATGCGCTGCAACTCACTTACCCCTCTCCAAGCGGAGAAACCATTTCAAGGGGTAAGTGATATGGTGCCAGGGCTGAGTCAGTGTAATGGGCCAAACAAGGTGCAAGCAGAGTGAGACTACAAACCGCACATTCTCAATTTCTGCTGCTCAAAGCTGAGAGGAGGGGCTCAGGGGTAGAGCTCTTGCCTTGCATGTACAAGTCCCTGGGTTTGATCCCAGCACCACAGAAGTAAATAAATAATTACATTCATTCCTGCTGCTCCTGAAACAAGACTCATTTTTTTGGTTCACGCTGCTACAATGCTCAAAACCCTTAGAACACTACCACTCCACTGATTTTACATCTGTCGTCGTAAAATTTCTGCTTGTTAACATTAGCTTATGTCAGTCATCCTGGTTTTCTCAAAAAAATACTAATTTTTGTCAAAGCTTTAACTCGTCTACAAATCTGGTAGATACCTTCGATAGTCGGTCCACACATGGATCTGATGAAGGACTGGAAAAGAGCATCAGAGAAGGAAATCTGGACTATGTAACCGGAAGTGCCCCAGCTGACGTGCAGCCTTACCACATGTTAGCTGAGACTCAGACGAGAGCTGAGTGCCAGCCGCCGGTGCCTCAGCTACAAGACAGGGTGAGGTGACACCTGGGATCACTTTGAGAACGCTGACACTACGTCCAATCCCGCTGTCCTGTTTCTGTGGTGTGAGAACTCAAACCTTGCACACGCCAGATAAGCAAGCGCTCTGCCACTGAGCTATCTACACCCTGATCTCCAACTGCTGTGTAAAATTAGATAAGCTCTCTTAATCTATATCGCAGTCACTTATAATTCTCCCACGCTGTAGATGTCAAAAATGAGGACAGTCAACTGTCCGTGGTTAAATTATTTGGTTTACACCAGAAGCGATTTAAGGTGCCGTATCAAGACACCAAAAATATGCAAATACAGACATACAAAGTAAAGCAAAAAGCAAAATAAGAACATTTAAAAATAAAACCTGAAATGAGGCCAGTATAGAACCACAAACTTGGCTCTAAGCCCTCTAGTAGCCAACCTTATATAGTTATGTTATTTGCATAGTTCATAGTGCTTCTGAGATAAAACTGATCAAAATGATCAAAACTCATCAACTACTCAAGAACAGCTCAATTATTCTTTTTTTGGGATCAAACTCAGGGATCTTGTGTTTGCCAGACAGGTGGCTGAACCTCTAAGCTAAATCCCTGGCCCCAACTCAATTATTCTTTTCTTTCTTTTTTTTTGGGGGGGGTAATGGGGATCAAATTCAGGTCCTGTGCTTGCAAGGCAGGCAGCAGAACCACTGAGCTAAATCCCCAGCCCAAATAATAGAATCCCTGTTTTGTTTTTTCTTTTTGGTACCAGCGATCGAACCTAGGTCCTTGTGCTTGTAAGGCAGGCACTGGAACCAATGAGCTAAATCCCTGGCTCAATTATTCTTGATACCAACACCAAGAAAAGATAGGCAGGAATGGTGTTACACACCTATAATCCCAGCACTTTGGGAGGCTGAGGCAGGAGGATCACAGTGAGTTCAAGACCAGGCTGAACTACACAGTATGACCTACCTCAAAAAAATAAATAAAATTATTTATAGGAGCTCATTCCTAACATGTTTAAATTCAGCCAGTATTTCTTAGCTGAAGAGCAGCTAAAGAAAATATCAGCAAGGGGCTGAGGACATAGCTCAGTGGTGATATGGCTGCCTGGCAAGGGCAAAAGTCCCCCCGGTTCAGTCCTGGTACTGGAAAAAAGAAAAAGAAAATACGAACAAGATTGTTCAAACATTTGCACAGAACTATTAGCCTCACTCATTCTACCTCTGCTAGGCTGAAGCTTATTTCCCTGACCTGTATAGACCGGAGAGCTTCTGATGCTCTCTGCAAATCTGCTGGTTAATAACCACCGATAAACTTTGTAGCAAGATTAAGGCGAGACACTAACGTCCTCTCTTCTTCTTCTTCTTTTTCTTCTTCTTTCCAGATACTCCATCTCCATCACCATCTCCATCTACAAAACAAAATTTCAAGTCTGTATCACTGAAACCTCCTAATGGAGGGAGAAAGCGAAGCAAGAAGAAAAGTGTGAGTGCACACAGAGGGACGATTTCTAAGGAACAATGGACAAGTATTGCTCAAGGCTCTTCTATTTTATTCTAAATATTTTTTTTGGTTTTTTGAGACAAGGTCTCACTATGTAGTTGAGACTGACCTGGAACTCACTATGTAGCCCAGGCTGGTCTCGAACTCACAGCGATCCTGCTGCCTCAGCCTCCCGAGTGCTGCGATTACAGGCGTGCGCCACCACACCCCAGCAAGGCTCTTCTAAATGCTACTGCACATTGCTGGTACATGTCAATACTCTTACACAAACGAGTGTTGCTATCTTTAAGTATCAGCTTGACTTGTGTGATAAAAAGAATTAACAAAGTTTACTTTGAATTATGCTAGTAAAAACTGTTGAATGAGATTTTGTAAGAAAATTGCATTAACTTTCTTTTTAAAAAGCAAGGAATTTAGGGCTAGGGATTTAGCTCAGTGATTCCAATGCCTGCCTCGCAAGCATAAGGTCCTGAGTTCAATCCCCGGTACAAAAAAAAAAAAAAAAAAAAAAAAAAAAAAAAGCAAGGGATTTAACTAGTATTTGCTTATTATCACTAATAATGGTCCTGTGACTTCGCCTACAATAACTGTGCCCCAGTGAGGGCAGCATTCAATCAAGAGTGGATGCCAATGGATCCCCAATCAGCTAAGGACATTTAGGGCACTGTATTTTACAGTGTCTTTTCTCAGACAGTCATCCCAGAAAGAGTTCTCCTTCTGGGTCAAATTGCATGCAAAGACCAGAGGCTCTATGTGCTTTTCCTGGGTTCATTGTTCTAAAAGTCTCAGAGCCCATTGCCCACACTTTTTTTGTGTTAAGAACCATGTTGGGAAAGAACGGCCCACAGAGTACCCAAAGCGCCCATAACTCTGACCCTTTCTACCAAGAGCTGTGAAGCCTAGGCCTCTATACTCTTGAACTTTGAGAAAACATTAAGGGTACAAGTCAGGACAAGATAAAATAGTAACTTACACAACTTCAAATAAAGTTATCAAAACAGACATGGGTATCTAAATTTCTAAAAAATCCTCCTCACTGATTTCCGCAATCACTTTTGGTTTGGTTTTATTTGTCTTGTTTTGTTTTTATACTGCAGCTCAAACCCAGGCACGAGGCAGGTGGTTTGTTTTTTATCCTCCTCACTGATTTCCGCAATCACTTTTGGTTTGGTTTTGTCTTGTTTTGTTTTTATACTGCAGCTCAAACCCAGGCACGAGGCAGGTGGTTTGTTTTTTGTTTTTGTTTTTGTTTTGTTTTTTTGGTTTTTTGAGACAGGGTCTCACTATGTAGGTGAGACTGAACTTGGAACTCACTATGTAGCCTAGGCTGGTCTCAAACTCACAGCAATCCTCCTGCCTCAGCCTCCTGCATGTGCCACAATGCCCAACTCTGATTTATTGATGAATTTATTTTTTTATTGAGTTTATTGGTACATTTTAGGCATACGGTACAGTTACATTCATCATTGGGATCTTGTACCTTTACGTGACAGGTCTTGGTTCTCATTTTTTCCTTGTCCCTGCCCTCCCTTCACTCTCCCTCCCTATTTACAAACATTTTCTTTCCGTTTTTTCATTTTCTCATGTTTTTTCAGCTTGGCTTTGTTTCTTTGTTTTTGAGATAGAATTTCACTCTACAGTCCTGCCTGGCCTCAAGCTTTCGGCAATCCTCCCGCCTCAGCCTCCTGGGTACTAAGATCACAGGGAGGCAGCACCATGCCTGGCCACGATCACTTTTGAAATATCTAGATCTACCTACAAATTACACAGATATGAAACAGGGACGACAGGGCGCTGTCAGTCAGGGATGGGCTAGCGGTACGCTTACTGTGCACAGTCTGAAACATTCCACTTAGTGGCACTCACTCCTCAGTAACTTCAGACAGTGAGATCCACACCTATAACCATGTCGAAGGACTCTTTGCTTAAAGTGCATCATTTTCACTCCCAGCTTCACAAACAGGAAAGAAATGATCTAAAAGACTACGCATGATAGTCTTTAAATATCACACAAAACTGCAATCATTAATTTACACTGGCACCTAATCTCTGTAAGCACCCTAAGGGTGGGACACCCCCCCATTGTTTCTCTGGGTACTAAGGATCAGACCCAAAGAGCTCTGAGCTACATCCTCTGTCCTTTTAAATTTTACTTTGAGACAGGGGCTTGCTGTGTAGTCCAGACTAGCCTGGGACTCACCACACAGCCCACGCTGGCCTCAAGCTTGAGATCCTCCAGCCTCAGCCTCCCAAGTCCTAGGATTACCAGCATGCCACTACTCCTGGTTTAGACATCATTTTTTTAAGTATAGTGACAAGAATATGGTTCTGTCTGTTAGAATGTTCTTTAATTTATTTCTTTATTCTTTTACTTAAATAAGAAACAAGAAGTGAGTAGGCCTGGTGGTACATGTCTGTAATCCCAGCACTCTGGTCTGAGGCAGAAGGATCCCAAGTTTGAGCTCAGCCTGGGAAATTGCTAGGAAGAGACCCAGTCTCAAAAATGAAAAAGGCTTAAAAAAAATTTTTTTTTGTATTGGGGTTCAAACTTGGGACCTTGTGCATGCCAGGCAGGGGCAGCACCCTGAGCTAAATCACCAGCCCAGCAAGAAAAGTATTACTTGTTGGTTTTCAGATTCAAAAGCCTACCAGGAATCAGACTCAGGACCTTGCACTTATGAGGCAGGTGCAGAACCACTAAGCTAAATCTCCAGCCCACATTTATAACTTTCTTCATTTCACTAAATGTTCAAGTTTCTAAGCGCCAGGTAATAAGGAGAGAAGAGTAAAAAGACAGTTTGTGCTCTGGAAAAACATTCATGGTCTAGCATATTGCCATACTCTAGATGCAACCCAAAACAAATGCTTCGAGATGATCACCAATTTCAAACATTCGGAAACCTTCCCAGCTATGCGACCTTGGTGAGTTATTCAGCCTCTACTTAACAATGGTTTTTTCATCTTTTAGACAGGATAAAGACCTTATTATCACTTTTTTTATTATCATCTTTCTGAAGCTGATTACCTTACTCCATGTTCAATGTCTGATTCAGTACAGAAAAGGAGCCCAATTTTTGTGTCAGGACTGAAGAGTGAACCCCACATGCTGCGGTTCCAATAATTACCCCAGCTAGATCTTACATGGCTTTCTTTCACAGCTTCCCAACATGTTCCTAACAGCAGAGACACTTCATATTATCTTTTTTTTTTGTACCAGGGATCGAACTTGGGTCCTTGCACTTGCAAGGCAGGCGGCAGCACCACTGAGCTAAATCCCCAACCCAGTTCACATTATTTATTAACACTAGGCCCAAACCAAAGGAAATCTGTTAAACTGACTAGACATCCATATAAAAAAAGTCATCCTTTACGGTGCACTACACAGAAAGGTTAATTCCAAATGAATGTACATAACACTTCCTGCAGAGAACAGAAAAGAAAATGTTCACGACCTTAGAGACAATGGTACATTCAGGACACAAAAGGCACCACCAACAAAGCAGAGATAATTAGACTTCATCAAAATTAAAACTGTGTGGCAAATGATTTTGTGGACAAAGTGAAAAGGCGCCCCTTCTACAGAATGGGAATGTGTGAGGCACATATCTGATAAAGAAGTCACAACTAGAGCACAAAGAAGTGTGCTGGGTCAGATGACAACCCATAAACTCAACAAAAGAGCTGAACAAACACTTCAAAAGACACATGAAAGGCAAATTAGGACCACAAGGACGTCACAGGGCACGCCTATTAAAAAGAGTGTAATTTAAAGACTGACCACATCAGCCAGGCATGGCAGTGCACACCTGTGATCCCAGCACACAGGAGGATCACTGTGCTGCGAGGTTGAGACCAGCCTGGGCTACACAGTGAGTTCCACGTCAGTCTCAGCTACATAGTGAGACCCTGCCTCAAAAAACAAAAAAAGAACTGACAACATCGAGTACACAAACCCAGAAGCTCAACCACTGCGGGCAGGAACACCAAGTGGTACAGCCCCTTTGAAAGACGATCTGACAGTTTCTTACCAGGTTAAACCTTATCAGGTGGCCTTGAATCACACCCCTAGGTATTTACCCAGAAGACGTTGAGAGCCACATCTGCACAAGGACCTGGATGCCAATGCTCAAAACAACTGTGTTCACAACACACAAAAACTGGAGACAACTTAAACATCCTTCAACAGCTGGGCTTGGTGACCCACGCCTGTGATCCCAGCACGGGGAGCCTGAGGCCCGGGCTGACTTGCTGTGAGTTTGAGGCCAGCTGGAATCACACAGCCAGACCTCATCTCAAAAATACATACACTAATTAATATAAAAAAGAACGTCTCTCAACAAGTAAATGAATACACAAATCTGATACTACCAAGCAATAAAAGAGACTGCACACTGCTCATGCCTAAAAACGAACCCAACAACTGAATGACTAACAAAACTGTTACACTAAGTGAAACAAGCCAAACAAACCAAAGAAGCTGCATACTGAGCAAATGCACTGACAGGATGTTCTCCAGGAACCAGAACTGTAGAAAGGAAGCGAGCAGTTACCAGGGTGAGGTGTGGAGCAAGACAACTGGATGCAAGGGGACTCGAGGGAACCTCAGAAAGGCCATGATCCTTGCTGTGGACCACACTCGATACCTCAGACAGACACTGTCCAGGCACTAGGCAAGTAGTCCGATGGCTGCACGAGCCCTCCCCACCTGCCCCGCGTTCCCCACTGCGCTTTCCCCTTCCCCACTGCCCACTGCATGAGTCCAAGCCTGGGATTCCCGGCCCTCGCCCTGCACTCCCCACCCACACTGAAAGCACAGCCGCATCCTGGTCCCCTCCACCCCTTCTCCTTGTACTCCTGCTCCTCCTCCACCTCCTCCTCAGGGCCACCCTGAGCCTCTGCTGAGCCTCTGCGACCTGATTTTAATCAAGACCCACTCCTCCTTCCAGGGAGCGTCCTGCAGCTGCGGCTCACTTCCACAGTTCACGGAAACTATGCTCCTATTGGATCCCTTCCCACCTCCATCCCCATGTGCAGGCGCACTTTTTAACTTTTGTGTGTGTGTGTCACTGGGATTGAACCCAGGACCTTCACACTGAGCAAGCCCTTTTTAAAAAAATTTTTAGTAGAGTCAAAATTAAGTCACCAAGTTGTCCAGGCTGGGCTTGAACTTTGAACCCTTCTTCCTCAATCTCCCAGTGCTGGGTTACACGTGTGCACCACCATATTTCGTCTCTCTACTGTCCCAACAACTCTCCTCTAGGAGAAAAACTCTGAAATACTAGCTTTCCATTCCCTCAAAGAGCACTCATAACAAACAAGCGGCCCTGACTGAATGTGATTATCAAAATGAATTTAAAAAGTAATTACTCAAATTGGAGGAAATTAGCAATATTCCTAAAATATGCTTTAATATGTTCACAATTTCCAATCTGACACACAAAACTGACCCTTTTGCTAGGTGTAGAGGGGCACGCCTGCAATCCCAGCACTCGGAAGGCTGAGGCAGGAGGAATTCACTACACAGTGAGTTCAAGGCCAACCTGAGGGAGACAGCGAGACTCTGTCTCAAAAGAAAGGAAAAGAAAAAAAAAAGACAACTATCCCTTTCAACATTGAGAGAGACAACAGGCAACTTTGCAGAGGGAAATGGAACGTCAAAATCAGCCCTGTGTCATTCTCCCCAGGGTGGACCTATAGCAACGTGTTATGTCACCCTGAATTTACCAACCCTGACTTGTCCAGAGCACACAACAGGTCCCTAACCTAACGCACCAAGCGAGGGAGGATGGAGAAGAGGTTTCTTAGAGAGTAAACGCCAGAGACTCCTTCCCATCTGGGCACCATCTGCACCAAGGCGGACTGCTAGCATCTTGAAGGCAGAGGACACATCCTTCCAAGGGAAGATACTCCTCTACCCTAACCCACCAAGGTGCCGGAAGCACAGCCCTGCTGCTGGCTGAAAGGCACAGCCCCAGCTGGCAGTGCCCAGATAGGGTACCCGGTTCTGGCGGCAGACGACTAACTGTAAATTCAGAGCATGGGAGGACCATTACCTCCTGTGCCAAGACAATCTGCAGAGAGTCAGGCATGCACACCTGTGATCCGAGCACTAGGGAGGATGAGGTAGGAGGATCACCAGAGTTCAAAGCCAGCCTGAACTATGAAGCAAGATCTTGTCTCAAAAAACTACATCACAGTAGTATGTAGAACAATCACAATCCTTAAAGCTAGGGATTTAGCTCAGTAGCACCACACCTGCCTCACATGCCAAGTCCTGTGTTCAATCTCAGCTAAAAAATAATAAAAAAAAAGAATGACAATCCCCTAAATTTTCTTTTTCTACTGTCTTACTGATAGCCTCGATTACTAAATTTTAGCAGCTGTTGCTGCCTTAAGAGAAATCTTACAGCTGGGTACATTACTTCCTGTACCAAAACAGTGTGTAGAAAAAAAAAAGTCTGTAGAGAGCTGGGCATGGTGGTGTATACCTGTAATCCCAACACAGGGAGGCTGAGGCAGGAGGATCACAAATTCAAATTTAACATGGGAAACCTAGACTCAGTGAGACCCTGTCTCAAAAAAAGGGTAGAGGGCCAGTGATTTAGCTCAGTGAGTGATTCCACCGCCTGCCTCACAAGTGTCAGGTCCCGAGTTCGAGCCCCACTACAAAAGGGGGAGATTTAGCTCAGTGGTTCTGCTGCCTGCCTCACAGCAAGTGCAAGGTCCTAAATTTGATACCTGGTACCAAACCAAACCAAACCAAACAAAGTATAAAAGGCGGGTAGAAAAGATGGGCATAGTGGTCCACACCTGTAATCCCAGCATTCAGGAGGCTGAGGCAGGAGGATCACCACAAGTTTGAAGCAAGCCTGAACTACAGGGAGAGATCACATCTTCCAAACAAAGGACAGGGGTGGATAGCAGGATGTAGATCAGTGCAAAGGCCCCGGGGAAGGAAAGGAGGGAAGAAGGGGGAAAGAGAAGGGGCACAAATTTCATGGCACCCAAACACCCATAAGGACCGGGAATTTACAGAAGAGCAGAAGTACTCCAACATGCACCTCTCAGAGTGAGGAAGATACGGAAAAATAAAAGGAATAGACTTGGGATCTCCAAACAGTCTTGAAGTTCTGGCTCTACTTCACATGAATTTAGCTGTGTCACACTGAGCAAACTCGACATCACTTCTCCATCTGTAAAGGAACAATATCACCTACTTTGCTTGGTTTGTGAGGTTAAAATGAATGTGCCTATCAAAGTATCCTGGCACTTAGTGGCTGTTCAGTAATTAAACAGTCCCTACTTGGCCTTCCCCCAAATACATTTTTCGAAGTGAAGATCTAAGCTATCGGAGCAGCTATTCAACATGCCCAACTTTTGAATTGTGGCTACCATGCCCTTCACCCCTACACTTCAGCCCACCCTACACTGCAGGATGGATTTCTGTTCATTTGTTTTGAGACAGGGTCTCGCTATGTAGTTCAGGCTGGCCTTCAACTATCTTAGCCCAGGCTGGTCTCAAACTCATGGCGATCTTCCTGCCTCAGCCTCCCAAGAGCTGGGATTATAGGCATGTGTACCACCACGTCTGACTATAGAGTATATTTTTTATTTGTATTTTTTTCTTTTTACTTTGCCCAAACTCATTCTGCAGAGCCTGTTCTTCTGCAGGGGACTGCAATCTTGTTTATGCCCAAAGCAGGCTGTTAGCAGTGCAGCCTGTGAAGAGTTAACCCCACAAATGGCTTGCTTCAAGAAACAAGTCCGGCCGAAGCCTGCATGGCAAGGTCAGTGTAACTTGCATTCAAATTCCACTTCCACAATTAAAACTTTCTTAACTAGAAGGACAATACTCTAATTACAACCATATATCTTGTCTATTCTGTTTCTAACTTGAAAATGCTTTGTCTATATTAGTTTCCATACAAACTGCAGTGCCGCCCTTGAACGTAGCTCGTCTTTACCCCAATTGATTACCAATAAAAATCAGTGCCAGGGATTTAGCTCAGTGCATCGCAAGGTTCCGAGTTCAATCCCCAGTACCAAAAAACAAAAAAACAAAACACTAAAAAACAACAAAACCAGTGGCTTGGACTGGCCAGCACCTGTCAGTTGCAGCAGCAGTGGTTTTTTGGTTTTTTTTTTTTTTTTTTTCGGCCTCA